GTAGGAGAAAATCGCATTCGAGTAAAATGGTATAAGTCGCGAATCACAATCTTGTGCCCGTCTATTGAGGATGGGCTGAAGATACGTCATAAAAAAGTCGCTATAAGTATTGATAAGGTCGATTATATGTGAGAGGAAGTATTCGGGCTAATCAATAACTGTCAGTGGTACACAGCGCATGATCACGGCACTGAACATGGGCTACGTACTTTGTCTAGCCTATTGGTTGGCTTGTCACCGCTAAAGTGGTACCTGAATCGGAGGTTCAGCGGAGACATCATTTCCTCTAAAGGGAGTAGGGCTGGGGTTTCCTGGTATTGGGCTTCGTTTTGAAGCAGTTCAATTTGGGGAATGACGTCCCTGCAATTCATGAATTTTCTGCTTAAGATAGCGTAGAGAACACTAGCACTTACGGTTCTTGCAAGCGGAGCAATAATTCAAACCAGTCCGCCCATTGCCTCACTAGAGCGTCGTCCACTTGAAGTTCCTTTGAAGGCCATTTCATTTTCTCAAGGACAGCGCGCAGCTTACCCGAATATTCCTTCTGCAGCGCATCCTTTAGACTTCCTACCAGCTTCGTAGTGTAGTCTATAAGGTGAGGAGCAGCACCTTCAGCTGCCACCTGGACAGACACCAGTGAGGAAGCCAGAGCTCTTACTTCGGAATATAAACTTAACGCATCATTTGGAGACCGTTGTATCACGGATAACGTGTCTTCGCTGCAACAAAATAAGTATCCAAGGCGCCCACAAAAATAAGAAGAACGAACCTGATGCGATTCACCCTGCCTAGCAGCTCCATATATCCTTTTGCGATTTCCAGCCTCCCAAGTTTCTCCATACTGGCCTCGAATTTCCGCGTTGCTTCATCACTGCTTTTCGATTGGGTAACTTCCACAAGCCGTCTATCTATGTCGTTTTGTTGCTCATTGAAGGCTTCGGCCCGTCTTCGGACTGTTTCAGTGTGCTGTTTCGATGCCTCGGTCGCTTTGCTTAAAATCTCTTCCGCTTCTCGTAACTATGAAGGTGTTAGCAAATGTGCAATTATGGCAAAGTGGCAATTAGCACGACCTGCTGTTTCTGGAGCTCCTGCTGCTTTTGAAGGCTCTCCAGAAGAGAGTCCAACGATTGTAGGTCAGCGACTGTTTGAATATTTTCGTTGAGGTACTCTGTCATGGATGGCGTAGTTGAGCGCCGGCCTGGCGTGACTCTCCGAGCCATTGTAGGTGTGGTTGTTTTTAATCGACGGAAATCGAATTATGATCAAAATGGCGCTTCGTTTTCCATATCAGCGGGAGAATCGCAGAAATATGCCATTAGTATTCCTGATCGCTCAACGGCTGGGATGCTTGTGAAGCATGACGTGGAGCTTCATGCGAAAGTTGCTCCAAGATCCAGAGAGGCTTGGCATCATCTCGCTCTGTCTCCGTTCAACCGCCGCTTCAGTTCCAACGCACTTGGAAGACTCTATACAGTCTACTGAGTAGGGATGAAGATATGTCCAATCCCGTCAGAAAACGCAAAAGAGGCGATCCTGGTGACCCGCCGAGGACATTTAGGAGTATTGACTCCTTTTTCAAAAGCCCGAGAAAGCAACCACACGAAGCCGACTGTCGCATACCAAAAAGCCCTTCGGAACACCAATTACTGACAGACGAAGAGCTTGCTCGAAAGCTGCAAGCAGAATGGGATAATGATGCTTCTTCGAATTTCCGAAATGCCACGCCCACAAATTCGGACGAAAACCAGGCGCCGCCGTCTCAAGACATGAAGGCCAGCGACGGCCAGGACCCCATCCCCGCGCCTCCTAAGTCATGTGTATTCGCTTCTTCCAAAAAAAAGAAAAGTGTTTTGTCCCTCCAAACCTCCACATCCGCGGAAGACACAATATCTATGTCGTTACCGCTCGATCAGCCACCTCTAACATTTAGCCCGTCTCTCTACCTCGACAAACTTAGGGAATTCTGGAATACCGAGGGGGGCCATGCTTCCTATTCGATATTGGCCAGGGCGTTCTCTCTAGTCAACAGCACACAAAGCAGGATTAGGATTGTGGATATCTTGGTTAATTTATTGAGAATTTTAATCGAAGGGGATCCGGATAGTCTGCTCCCAGCGGTCTGGCTTGCTACAAACGCGTTCGCACCACCGTATGTTCCGCTTGAATTAGGATTGGGAGGATCTGCCATCTCAAAGGCATTGAAGAAGGCTTATGGATTGGATAACCTGGGTCTAAAAACTCTTTATGACAAATATGGAGATGCCGGTGATGTCGCCTATGAAGCTAAAAAGAAGCAATCCTTTACGTTAAGACGACCAAAGCCGCTCTCCATCAAAGGTGTTTATGATTCGCTAATGAAAATCGCTAACAGTAAAGGGACGGGTAGCCAGGAAAACAAACAGAGGCTTGTGGAACAGTTACTTCGAGACGCGAGAGGAGCTGAAGAAAGTCGATATATTGTTCGAACCCTCGTCCAGCACTTGCGCATCGGAGCTGTCAGAACCACCATGCTTATTGCATTGGCTCGTGCCTTCCTCTATTCAAGGCCTCCGTCGGCTAGTTATAGGGTTCATACCAATGCTGATCTTATGAAGCTTAAGAGGGATGAACTTGCCAGTTTATATGCAAAAGCAGAGGAAATGATTAAAGCTAGCTACGCTCGTCACCCAAATTATAATGACCTGATACCATGCCTTTTAGCAACGGGTATCTCGGAGGCTGTCCTCGCTAAATGTGGCTTGGCACTTCATGTTCCCTTGTTGCCAATGCTAGGAAGCATCACGCGTGACTTGACAGAGATGCTTACCAAACTTCAAGGCAGAAAATTCAGCTGTGAATACAAATATGACGGCCAGCGCGCGCAAGTGCATTGCGATTCATCGGGAAAAGTTTCGCTTTTCTCCCGCCACTTGGAGCTGATGACGGATAAATATCCGGATCTAGTATCTCTCGTTCCGCAGATTCGGGGAGACGGTGTGTCCAGCTTCATCCTTGAAGGGGAAGTGGTCGCCGTGGACCAAGAATCTGGGGTTTTGTTGCCCTTCCAGACGCTTTCTAATCGGGCGAAGAAAAACGTTGAGATAGGGGACATCAAAATTAATGTTTGTCTTTTTGCATTCGATCTTATGTATTTGAACGGAGAAGCGTTGTTAGAAAGACCTTTTAGAGAAAGACGTGAACTCTTGCGAAGTCTTTTTGTGGAGATACCCAACCGGTTTTCCTGGGTGAAAAGCATTGATGCAACGTCTTCCGAGTCGGAAACGATTCTCAATTTTTTCCAGGAAGCCACAAACGCAAAATGCGAAGGTATTATGGTGAAGGTCTTGGATGATGGTACCGATGGCGAAGCATCCGGCATCCTCACCAGCGAAGAGTCGTCCAATATTTCCGGCGAGAAACAGAAAGCCTCACGAAGGCGCACTTTGCTCTCTACTTATGAGCCTGATAAACGACTCGATTCGTGGCTCAAGGTGAAGAAAGACTATAATGCAGCCTTCGATACTCTGGACTTAATTCCCATTGCCGGTTGGCATGGCCAGGGACGAAAGGCCCAATGGTGGTCACCAATTCTCCTTGCAGTTCGAAATCCGGAAACTGGCTCACTGGAAGCTGTCACCAAGTGCATGTCTGGTTTTACTGACAAATTCTATCAAGAGAACAAAGAGAAGTACGCCGAGAATGGCAACAATACTATCCCAAGGCCAAGCTACGTGGAGTATAGGAATGAGCCCGAGGTATGGTTTGAACCTCAGGAGGTTTGGGAAATTGCTTTTGCAGATATCACACTTAGCCCAACGTACACGGCAGCCATCGGGATGGCCAGCGAGGAACGTGGGTTAAGCCTGAGGTTTCCAAGATTCCTCAGGGTTCGTGAAGATAAAACCATTGAAGAAGCAAGCACTTCTAGCACCCTTGCTGAGCTCTGGAAGAAACAAATGGCGCGACTGCAAAGCGAAGGTGCTGATTTGCCGCAGGAAGAAGAAAACGGATGATTTCCTACTGAGTACATAAGGAGGACCTTCCGGTTCCCGTTGTTTCCACACGGACAACGCACCATTCTAGCTGGCTGGTGTCTTCCACGGATGCCACGGCTAGGGCCATATTGCACAAGATCCTGGCAAACAGCTGGGTTCGGGACCACTGGCAGGTTAATGAATAGCGTTGGTGTATTACGTCATAACTCAATGGAACCATTCCCCTTCAATTCTACACATACAGCAAAGCGTGTGGACGTAGCATTTCTGGAACTTGCTCGATAACCGTTGGAATTGCGATGTCATTGGTCTTGTTCTCCTTCCGTGACGACACCATCGTCGACCTCTGCCACTTTACTGCCATATATATAACAGGCTTCCCCTCACCTTTGGTGTTGGATTTTTCCTCTTTCCACATCATAGCGAGAAGTTAACATTAACGATACCATATACCGATTGAAGATGGCACCGCTTCCGCGAAAGGCTTTGCTTGCAATAACCAGTGCGCACCCGCCGTTCTGGCCGGACGGGAAGAGGACAGGGCTCTTTTTCTCTGAGGCCCTTCACCCGTTCAACGAACTTACTGCGGCGGGCTTCGAAGTTGACGTTGCGTCCGAGACGGGAACATTTGGATGGGATGAGCATTCTCTCACCCAAGAATACCTATCCAAAGAGGACGAAAAAGTCTTGCACTCTGAGCACAATCACTTTATGGAGAAGATGAACAAGCAGGTGTTCAAGGCCGGTGATTTAGCGCCACACGATTACGGACTGATGTTTGTGTGTGGAGGGCACGGGGCATTATATGATTTCCCGCATGCCAAACATCTTCAAAATATTGCGCAAGACATCTACAAACGCGGTGGGGTCATTGGTGCAGTGTGTCACGGTCCAGCTATGCTACCAGGAATCCATGACGAGAATGGCGACTCGGTCATTAAGGACAAGACTGTCACTGGGTTCACAACAAAAGGCGAGATCATGATTAAGGTCATCGATAAGATGCGGGAAGATCATCTCCATACTATCGCCGATATGGCTCAGACCGCCAACGCCGAATATGTTCCTCCCGAAGACCCCTGGGACGACTTCTGCAAAGTCGACGGCAGGATCGTCACGGGTGCAAACCCGCAGAGCGCAACAAATACGGCTAGGGATACGATCAAAGTGTACGAAGGCATTGTGAACGAATAAATATCCGTGGATCTGTTTGGCGTGACTCAAGCACGATCGTCATTTCGAACCGCTTTTTACAAACATTGCGTTATTTTGCTACTCCATGTCAGTGGAGCACGAAGATCGGCAGCTCTGTGCGAAAATCACCACGGAGAGAGTATTCCACTCATTTAATGAAGTTTGAGAAGTGATTTACAGCCCATTTGTGTATGTATGTACTTACATTATCAAATAAGCAAATCAAACACGATGGCTAGTATCTTGTATCGTTTGGGAATCATACAACCTTGTTCTTGTGCCACGAAGTTCAAGGCGTGAGCTCCCAATCTTCCGGGAACCAACTGTACTGTACATCCAAACGATCCTTGAAGATATTGTCATAGGCCGGTATAGCCGTCTCGGCCCGTTTGCCTTGGCGATGATATCCCTGCTGAATTGCCTTCATCTTGGGATGCGCCCACATTTGCCTCATCCAGGCAAGGGCCTCCGGAGTGGCAGAATCAAGAGGAAGCCCATACGAGCGGAATCGCTATTTGAATCAGCCATCAAGCAATGAAGAAGTCCCGAAAATCATAGGACAATAACAGAGGTTGCGCACATACCCACAACACCGGCCAAAACACCGAATCCGCAATACCAAACTCGCCAAACAAGAAGCCCTTGTCGTCCTGACCCAGTTCCTTCAACCGCTCAGCTGTCTTCTTCCTCAACTGGCTCCACAGCGCAAGAGTCCTCTTCGCCTCTACTATGGCATCATCGCTGATCGGCACATTCCCCGTATATTGGCCCAAAAAGTTCGTACCGCACGTAGCCTGTAATGTACGGCACAGGCCAGAATGCATACGCGCTACAGCACTCCGAGCTAGTGCACGGAGAGCACGGTCTTTTGGCCAAAACGGTAGATCGGGGTGAGCCTCGGCGAGGAATTCGAGGATGGCAAGAGAGTCATTGACCTGGATGTCTTCTCCCAATGAGCGGACGGTAAGAGCGGGGGCGAGGCCGGAGTGGGAGAGCTTCGTGGCCTAAAAAAAGTTTCTTTTTTGTTTGCCATCTGCATACAGAATATTGGTTGTTTATAAAGTGTGGAATACCTCTTCGAGCGATGTGATCACCGCTTCATAGGGGATCTCGTAGAAGTCTAGCAGAGTAGTAACGCGCGCCGTCCAGCCTGGCCATAGAGAGACTCTAGTTGAGCGTTTACATCACTCGAGAGCAATCAATGCCCAACAACTATGAACTCACTCGAGTATCGAGTCCAGGCACCAATGACGGTGTATTCCTTCTCTGTCCCAGAAGCCATCTTTCGAGCAATTGGATGAGTCGTCAAGATCTCTCTCTCTCTCACACACACACACACACACACAAAAAATTTTGAATGATAAATCCAAAAAAAAGAAATTTAAAGACCTGCTTCAGCAACTCAGCCCAGAATCCAATGAGTCAATTAACTCTGGCATTCAGGAAATATACACTCAAGAAACACGAATCGATCCACATCAGTAGGATTGTACGAGGGGGTTTATATTCCCTTTTTTGCTCCCCCGTTCCGTGGTCAAAGAACTAACACACGCTCATTGCCTCTCGGAGCAGAGCTATTCTCTTATCGTTCCCTTCTCGTCGTGCGATTCCCCGTCCAATGGAATACGAATATTGATAAGACGCATTTGTCATCTCGATATCTTTCCCCGCTTTACACGAGAGAAAATCGGTTCAACATAGGAACTGGGTAGCGTAGCGGCAGTGATAATTTGGTCTTCTTCGGCGAGCGCCTTGGGATTGATCCGGATGAAGGATTTGATCATGCAACTGTGGCGCATCTCTTCATCGCCCCGTCGGGAGCACGAATTTTCTTGCGACGGAGCCGGAGTCCCGTCAGCGAGAACTGACCTCAGGGGAGCGGGCGCCAAGCAACAAGTGCGGGCGATCCGACGGAGCATGGAGCACGTGTGGAAACCGGGAAGAGCGGTAATATCGAAAGAGAGACTGTTCCTTTTTTCTGAAATAAGAATGTATTCTTCCTTTCTTCTTTTTTCCTTTTTTTATTAAACTACAATCTGCTCTACATGCACGTTTCCATCGACTAACACAATCATCCACGACAGATATCCTGCTGGTCCTCCCGCCATAGGTTGAGCTCGACCTACCATCTGACACAGCAGCAGCAAGGAGAATCAGCCTCAGGCTTGCTTTGAACTTGGCTATTTCTCATCCACACAAAAGCCAGTGTTAGAGCCTGGTAAGGTCTCGGGACCGACATATCCTTACTATATACCCGAGTTAAGCTGCGAGAACAATGTGCGGCCAAGCGAAGGTCACGCGCAAGTATAAGGACTATCTTGACGGCAAGCCGCATGTCATACGACTATCCTTTGGATGAAAGATGCAACCACCCCAGCAAGGATGCACCACAGTGCCTGAGCATTAAGTTCCCTGTCACTGCTGCTCGCCCTGAGTGTGCTTTCGACCGAGCGCAGCAGCAAACCCGATGTTTCTTAAAGTATCCCGCATGTTACGATGAGCGGCAGTTAGTTGCGGCAGCCAGTTGTCGTAACACTCTACAATAGGGGCTAACTAGAATTTATCCGGCAACAGATGGTTAATAGCGGCTTCTTGTGTCCGTTATCATATTTGTCTCCTGCCAACCACGCCCCTTCAAACCTATGCATTCGCTGAATTGTCCAGTACAGGTAGTTGTAGGACATGTGCTGAATTGTGCGTACGTGCGCGCAGGGCTAATGCTACAGGCATTACAACCGGCGCTTCAAGCTGTCGGCCACCTGTCGCAGTGATGGTGAACTATCCATATATGTCTAGCACCGGCGGATAACAGCCTCGGTAGCGCACCTGACGTTCGTGTGTCAGTCAGAAGGATAGTCCTCTATCGGCCTGGAGTCAGGGAAATCACTGAGCTTGATATTCCACTTATCAAGCAGAAGCGCGTTGCGCACGGAATAGTCGCGCCAAACGAACGCCACACTAACGCATATGCGCGACAACGCCCTCTGTAAACTAACCTGCTAGCTTCAGCCAGATCTGCTGCTTCGGTCGATTCGCCCCGGGCGTAAGGCTGAAGCTTTGGGACACCGTTCCTGCGATGACTGCCCTCCTCGAACCCAACGGAGCGGAGAACAGGATCACGTTGTCCGAGAGCCTTGCAGATGCATCCCCTTACCTTCACGCCCCCTCGTCAGACTCCTTTAGGTCCTTTCCCCGGCCCCAAGGGCTTCTCGGCCTCGATACCAAAGAGCCCGACCCTTCAGAACTGGCGGATTATCCTTTGCCTTTCTTGTCTCATTGTCACTCGCAACCACATAAAACAGCGCTATTAACTGTCAGCCTAGGCTCTGGGTCTTGTCTTCCTTGGCCAATTTTGGCGCCACGTCTTTGGAGCAGAGCTCAGGGGGTCGTTATGTATGTTGATGTATGCAGGAGAGAGATAATGGCCTATTGCGCTTGCTAGAGAAAGGAGTGAGCTGTGAAGTCTGAAAATATCACTTGTATCTCTAGCAAATATACGTGCATACAACCGACTGAGGGCGACGCAGGTACAGGACGGGCATCAACAGCTTCCACACGTGAGTACTGAGAGGGGCTGAAGAGGGGCGTGGCTGGTGAATGCCCCACTATCAACCCGGTCTTGGCAAACCTAATATACAAGCTAGTCTACATATGGCCTAGCATAGACGCGAAAGTAACACGTGTCCCCGCGTTGGGAGCCGCAAACAAGCTCTAGAAAACGCGCGACACAACAAGGTTTGGCCTGTTCGGGAAGGATCATCACACACGGACACAAGGCAAGCGGCTGGAACGCTCTTCCATGACACCTGCTTCAATTCTTGTTTTTGTAGTTGGTTATGGATTTCTCGGCTACGAGAACATTGCTGGGGGACTGGCACTGCTCAAAAGGGAGCATTCTTGAGAACGGGGGTATACTCTGACAGAAAATACAGGTGTTGACCGTGACGTGCTGGGGAAACAAAGTCAACAGTGGGAAACATCACTTGGAGGGACAGACGCTCTGTGAAGACAGCAGACACAGGGTGCAAAAAAAAGTGTAGGACACTAGTAAGGGCAGTATTTCGACATCGGGGTTGCGATCAACCTGTGTGAAAATAGCAACAAAAAAAAAAAAATTTTCGAATAGTTGAACACATCCATACTCCATATATCATAAGGATTCATGAATAAAATAGTAGCTAAAAAAGGGGGAATTAAGTGTCAGTTAAAAAAAAACCATTTAGAAATGTAATTCTTCACCGAGTTGGAGTGCCAGTTTGACTTTCCTCTCAGCAGACTCCGGCGCTGGGCTGGCACCCGTCGGTGGGGGGAGTGCATCGAAGTTCAGTCGTTTCCGCACTTCCTTCGTCGTGGTTGGGGTCTTTGGAATAACCTGCGGAGTACGGCTGCCCCACCGCCGCTGGGCAGGGCTTGGAGTCACATTGACAAAGTCAGCAAAATTGAATGGCTGGCCGGGTGTGCTGAAATTCGCTCCGAATCCTCCACCAGGGGTGGACAGGAGGGAGGGCAGGTAGGTGTGTTGGGCAGGCGGGGTGGAAGGAAGAAAGTCGGGAACACGCCCTTTCTCTCCAAGATTCATGGGAGTGGGCGAGTTTGCAAGGTACATCAGAAGATCAGCGCCATCTTGGTTATTACGGTTATTGATGGGAAGCCGATTGCGTCGCGGGGATGGCGTACGCGGAGGAGAGGAGCTTATCAATGAAGCGCTTGTCGGGAGTTCCGGGTCGATGTCATGCTCTGAAATTTTCTCGGGGGATAGCAGTGAATCGTCTGGGATGGTATCGGACTGCGATACAAACGAAGCTGTGTGGACAAGAACTGCAGGACGCTGTCGGCCAACGGTCGGAGACGAAGGTGGAATCGCGGAGCGGTGATCCCCAGCAAAACGCGGGAGCTTAGTAGGTTCCTGGGTTATGGAATTGCATCTTCTCCGTTTCCGAGAACCGTTCGTCATTGCCTCCATGGATCTCAGGTCAAACATCGCTGCATGTTTGCTTCGGGCAGAGCGTGGCAGGTCCTTCGTGAGAATTGGGCTTGTGACGGGAGTGGAAGCTGCCGGAGTCTCAAAGCGGCGGTATCCATTCGAGAAGGTCGAGGAGGAGCGTTTTCCGTTCGCACTAAGTCCTTCGCTGCCGTCCAATGGATCCGTGGAGAGGCAGTACATCTGTTCATATTTTACTTTGGCGAGTCCGAGGCGGTCTTGAAGGTTTAGAGAGACCTAAGAAGAACACCGGCGTCAGCCTGATTCCCTTCAACAGCCGTGTCTAAGATTGGATGAGTACATACCTTTTCAATGTCGAGCTTATGAACAGCCTTCCGCGCAGAGGTTGTGGGTGATGACATCGTCATGATGGGAAGTGGGAAAGCAGGAAATTTTCAACTGGACACACACACATACAAGCACGCAGACTAGAATGTAAGCAAATTGTTGTTTTTTTTTTTTTTTTTTTTTAAGGTAATTATTGGGTGGTAAAATAAGGGACACAATGTAAAATAAAAAAGAGACAATAAAATGAAAGGGAACAGAAGGGCTGCTAGGAAAAAGAAAAAGGGAAAAAAAAAAAAAAAAAGAGTGTCTGGATCGAAGGAAGGGACAGTTGCACAAGACAGAAAATCAAAGAGAGCAAAGGAGTGACGGAGGAAGGAAACGCAGCAGGCAGAGTTGGAGATCTCTCTTCATGTCCCGTCGCAGCAGAGTGTGAAAGGGGAGAAAAGTATGTAGTAAATGTACGGTGTGGCAGGCAGGCAGGCAGGCGAGGCGGAGAGCGAGAGCGAGAGAGAGAGAAGAGAGACAAGAGAGAGAGAGGAAGGCCATTGGAAGGGCGGCCTGAGCTTGTTGCAGGCGAAGATTGGGGTTAAGAGAGCGCTAAACCCTGCAGGGCTGGGCAGCCAAACAGGCCAAACAGACCACCGAGCTCCGCCAGCCACTGCAGCACTAACTTGGCGATGCAGCTGGGGTGAGCTGGCAGGGGGGTGGTGTGTCGTTGACGCCATCCGTCAGCTCTGAACACGTAGGGCAGACGAGTGATCCCCCCTTTCTTGATCGCCGCCGTGGGCGCAGAGTTGGCTGGGGGCCGCGTGAAGTGGTCACGATTAGCCGCCGCCGCCGCCGCCGCTGCGCTGGAGAGGTAACTACTGCGTCGTCGGAGGATGGCATCGACGACCTTCTGAAACGAGGGCGGCAGACGTGTATGAGGAAGAAACATACGAGGTGGTGGGGGGGCAATGTTCAAGATAGTAAGAAGGGAATCGTCGATGGCCAAACACCATCAAAAACTAAGCTTAACCAGCTCTCCGAGTTTCAAATTGTCTAAAAAAAAAAAAAAAAAAAAAAACCCGCGTGAGATCTTGGGAGGTCTGCTGGACCTATCTGTATCTTCACCCCGAAAAACTTTTTTGAGCCGGTGACCCGACGCTTAGATCTTTGGATTGCGACTCCTCACATTCAATCATCTCTTTCTTGCGAGGGCACTCCATGTGTGGGTCAACAGGTCCTCCAGTCATTCAATATAATCCTGGCAGACCGCTGTGATCACCTCCGATGATGATACCCCAGGCAAAACCTGGAAACAACTGGTTTAGATTGCCACTGGTATACCTAGGAGATCCATTGGAGTAAGACGCTGCTCAACTAGACTACCTCCCCGGAATCAATCAATCCTGCTGCCTTTGTTCGTATGGATGGATCAATTTTGCATCAACATATTTACAGCTGGAGCTTCAACTACATACATATATCAACTCGTTCGTGCTGCAGCTCAGTTCGCCTCGGGGTTATGACGGTGAAGCGCGAATGAAGCGTGCAATCTTCGGCTCATGGGATACGGAGTACGGCCCCTGCCATTCCGCGACCGCTGGGACCGTTTCGAGGACACGGAGAATTTCCGTACAAGAAGAACAAAACACCCAGCACCGTAGGATGCACAGTGGTGAATCGGCTTCGGCACTTTCGGAGATGCATCATTTTTCTTCCCGGTTGCTACATTACATGCCAGTCTTCGCTACAACCTTCTATTCGGAATTCCGCCAGTCGCCTTTTGAAACCATTTGCCTCCAAAATCCAATATGATTTCCAATTTCATAGCCCCCACTCACGCTGTCTCCTGGGCTGGAGAACTGGCGGGGCCTTCAGCAGCCGGGAGACTTCGGACGGAGTAGTATATTCCAACCCTCCGGCGTTCGATAATCAGTTCCCGGAATAAAGGAATGAAGCAAAGGAGAGTACTCCGTAGTTTTGCCAGAGATTTATTAATAAGGATAATAATAACCCGACAGAAAGACAACAGAATGGCCTTTTCTTTTTTTTTGAGAGAGAGAGAGAGAAATGAACAATTTTCCCTTTGAGGTTTCACAGCATGTCCGGCCCGTACGGGGCGCGCTGTTGTCCACAGTTTGTGTCAGGTCCGGTGCGCTTGGGGGGGACCAATTCTGAAACTAGCCTGAGATTCCAGTTCCGGGTGACACCGACGCCTGGAGAACCCTTAAAGTAATACATATGCCGACAACAGGACAATCCTTTTTCTTTGAACAACAATTCATAATAATAAAAGGACTATTGAGTAACATGCCCTCTTGTGGGAGAGTTGCAAATTGCAGACTGTGACTCTAGACAACCAGAGGTGGCTACGGAGTATGTCGTCACAAAAACCCAGTTCTGGACCACCGACCACACCCCACCCTGGGTGTTAAACCGGCTTGGGCATTTCAGGAGACGCATGACCCAGTTTAAGACGGTTCAGGCTGCAGAAAAGGTCATGGAAACTGCTTTGAAGGTTCAAACAACGATGTAAAATATACCTAACTATGGTAGTACACGCATGCGTGTCGGGATGGCGACGCCCATCAACAGTTATTGGCGACTTGTGAACAGAAGCAAATCAGCTTGGGACACAGATAAGGCGCGGTCGATCCATGGAGCTATTTTTGCTTGGATGCAGTGGCCCCTGACCGGGGAGCCAAAATCAAGCTTTTCGCTCCAATTGGCTCGTCCAGGACGTCGTCGACCATCGAGCGCGAGGAAGTATTTTTTTCGAGAGGGCCACAGTAAACAATGCGTGCACTCGGGAGTTCTCGCAGGCATTGTTTGTTTGTCTGGAGAAGTAGTTCAGGATAGAGCAGTTAGTTAGTTAGCATCGCTACATATTCAAGCAGGCCAGGGTGATGGGGCGCGCTTCATGGAGCAGATCGCGGATGTTATGTATGTCCCTGCATGGCGGTTCACTGGCTGGAGCTGATCGCTGTAAGCCATGTCACTCTGGCCATGTTTCGTCATCAGCAAAAATTCACAAACAGCCACTCCTGGGCCATGTGCGACCTCCATCGTCACTCCTCCTCCGGATGCCTGGCCATTCCAGCATATCTTCTTAGCCCTGCCAATTCCCTGTCTTATCTCTCTTTTTTTTTTTTTTTTTTCTTCCTCTATTTCTGTTATTTCGTTTCTGCTTTGCTCCTTGCTGTTTCATCTTCTATCTGTTGCAATTGACTCTTTGTGTCAAGTCAGCTTGGACTGGCCCCCGGTGGTGCGCTTGTTGTGCTCTCGGTGATCGCCAGAAAATCCCCAGAAAAAAAAAAAAAAAAAAAGGGCAGCCAGCTTTGTGGCCCAATGCTGTCAATCCTTTAGCTGCGTGCTGTGCCAGGTGTCCCAGCCGCATCCTCCCTCTCTTTCTCCAGCCCTTGCTCATGCTCCTCCCTCCTCGCTTCACCTTTGCTGTGCACTCTCATAGATGCTGCTGCGGTTTCACACTGGCTGCTGAAGATGTCTCCGAAGACATTCATCAAGGACCTGCGCCGTCTCTCACGATCAAGCTTCCAGAAACGAAGCCCCAAAAAGCCAAAAGATGACTGCTCATTCTCGGACGTGAATGGCGACGGCCATACGATCAACGGAGCCTCGACTCCAACTTTGGACAATTGCTCCTCCAACAGCTCCCACACAACCCCACCTCCGTCTCTTCCGACCCTGTCTTCCACCCATCTCTCATGCATTTCCAAGTCGGAACCATCATATCTGCTCGCTCCTCTTCCCCAGAGACCCGTTCCTATCAGTTCCCCGTCGAGTCGAAGCAGTGGTGCCGTAAGTCTTTACCTCGTTCAAACCCAATTGACGCTGTATCTAACGTGAATTTTATATCGAATCTAGGGTAGTAATCCCTACCTGATAGGCCCACCGTCCAGACCCTCAATACCCGTGTCGCCGTTTGCACCTCGAGTGACATCTATCTCAGAAAATTCATGGGTAAGGCTCCCGGAATATAGAGGAAGCACATACGGTGTATCGCCGGTGGAACTGACCGTTTTGCTTAGGTCAATCACAAAGTAATACTTATCTATGGCCAGATCGGCGATGCTCGAAGTGCACCGGTGGACGGCATGGTGATTATAAACCTTTTGAACGACTCATTCCCTCCCACCACCTGGCCCGTTCGCGGTTCTCACTTCAAGGCTCTGTTGCACCTGGCTCCCGGTCCAAACAAAGTTCGACTGGATTTCTTTTCTCAAAAGGTTCCCAATGCAACCGCACATCAATCCACAATCAGTGTGAACTATCTGCCTATGATCAACTGCCCACCTCTGCACCTTGTGATCCTTCTCGGCAAAGATTCCAATGGCCAATTTGATACCCCTTCCGAAAAGGCACTGAAGGGAGAGGATAGCCTTGATGTCGCTATTCGCAAGTTCCGCATGGCTGCGTATCTTTGGCAGGCTTTCACCCAGGAACAGATGTTCCGAAACAACTTTGCCAGACGTTCGTTCAGGTTTGAAGAGGAGTGGCAAACTGGAACGCTCAGCTCGAGAGATGCAGCCTCCAATCAGATGAGAAATGAAGCCAAAATTCATCTCGTTCGATGTGACAAGACTGTGGATGAACTGAGAAAGCTTGGTGCTGAGCAGCGTCCTGACACCCCACCGAGCGAAAATGAACTCTTTAAGGTTGCAAAGGAAGCGATCAGCCAGTATTTTATGCGAAAACGTGACCAGAAATTCTATGTGACAGCTCTGATCCTTGATAGCCACTGGAATAGCGATATCAGATCTGTTGCCGGTCACGCAGCGGTTGGGTTTGCTGATGACGATATTAGCCTAGCTATTTTTGGCTCTCATGGCCTGCACAGTTATCCGTCCTGCATAGAAGAGGTAGTTCCAGCGTTTACGGACTGTACTCGAACCAATACTAACCTGCTTGCTAACCCAAACAACGAATGTGGCAGCTATTGGGAGATGGCGAGTGCGAATATCGGCGCTCATCTTCGTGAAATAGGCCGTCTGTTCGGTTGCGATGGACGAGAAAGTGGGATAATGAGTCGGGATTATCTGCGATTCAATAGATCGTTTACGAGCTGGGAGCCATTTTGTACCAGAACCAAAGAACAGGGTTTACGCCTCTGTTTAGCCCAAGATGAAACCAATTGGCACCGCCTTGACGCTTTGCGTTTCCGCCTGCACCCTTGCTTTCGCCATCCAAGTGACCCTCCAGCATGCCCGAATCGCTCCCTCCATGTCTGGCCAGTCGATGCTGGCAAAATTGTGCTGACATCCATGGCCGGCATTGCCTTTATTGAAATTTTTGCCGATGGAGACGAGATTTGCACCGCATATTTTGATTATATGAACGGCGATTTGGGGAATAGCAACGGGATGCCAAAGCAAATCACTATCACGGAGGATGGTATTCGTGCTCGGCTCCCTGATAACCGGAGAAAAGCGACGAGACTGAAACTTGTAATCTTTTCTAGCTCTCTCCACAGCCACATCGTGGAGGACCTTTCTCGGCTCAAATCCAAAGATTCACTGGTCAAGCTGTCTAATAACCAAGTCGGTTATAGGAGCAACATGTTAGGCACCCACTCATTTCCCGGGAGCGTGTCTGAGGATCTGATTCTAGATTTTGCTGTCATTCAAACAAAGCTACTTACTTCGCTTAAGGTCTACCACGACCCATTTTCTATTAGCGGCATCGAGTTCTGTTATGAAGATGCTACAACTCAGTTTTTTGGTAATCGAGACCCTCAATCTACGAATACCAGCGAATATGTACTTGGTAAGAGTACAGCCTCCTATGATTCCACTTGCTTAGGTTTGTACTTATCGCCTATCGTTGTAACTTATATAGATACCCGGAAAGGCGAGCTTTTGACCGGATTCTATGTTCGAGCAACGCAGAAGGTTGAAGGAATTGGAGTAATCACGAATATGGGAAAAATAAACGGCGTTTGCGGTAATGCAACAGCGGGAATTGGGTAAGTTCGACTATATTCCTTTTTTTTTTTTTTTCGTTTTGTTCTACGTACGCCGATTTCGGTTACACAGCTATGCAAAGCATCGGTGCGCTGACTGATTTTTACCAAGGCACACTTTGATTGCACCACGTGGGTATAAAATTGCGGGCGTTTCAGGGACGTTTTCTGAAAGCATCGACACCTTCTCTTTAATCATTAGTCGATAAGGGTGAATTTTTCTATGCCGATGTTGTCCAGACTTTGTATGGAGAGTCCATCATTCTAACCTCGATCCAAAAGGTGCATAAGCTCCGTCGACGGCTCTTGAGTGATTCGGTTCCTCATAATCTCCTTCGGTCGCACCGCGTTGGGGGCTCTTTTGGTTTCTCTATTATGCGGTGTACGATAATCCCAGTTGCATGGGTTGAAGCAATTTTCTCATTGGCGATGACTCACGACAGTCCACTCACTTGTTTCTTTGCTCTTGTGAGATCCGATAGCATGGGACGGTTTGTTGTTTTGAAAACGGGCGGCATTGTGTTGTGTGTTTCATTTTAACGGCTCCTCATATCCGATCGGGTCCAGTCCTTGCGATGCCATCGACTAAAAAGGAAGAACGAAAAAAAGAAAAAAAATTCTTTGGGACAATATAGATATGCGGTTTCTCATTATGCAAGCATCGCGGGCCTTTGGCGGGATGATCTGACTACTATTCTTGCACACCCATTCGTGCAAAACTAATTAATAGAATACCTACAGATAATAACTGAATTACCTCAGTTTGAAATGGTGCGAACAGTTCGTAAACCCCCTCGGATAGACAACTGTGGGTTTTTCAGAAGCTCCGAATTTCCACAAGAAAGCCCGAGAAAGAAAAGGATCGAACTCGCTCAATTTGTCTCATTGGGACCTGTATCGACTGCATTGTCCTGAGAGCACGTCATACCGTATAGATTGAGGCACGAATAGGCTTTTGGCTTATTTACATCCTTGCTATGCGCGCCATGGGGCCCGACGGCCCAAGGCGGAACGATATAAGACCAGCTCAAGCTCCTTCGATCCAGATCTCAATCTTGTCTCCACTTTTTCCCTTCTTGGGTAGACCAGGTCTCGATGTGCAGTGAAGATGTGGTGTCATACTTGCCACTCAACATCGAGCGGCTGTAAGTAATTGCGTTGACACACGCCGCTCCCACACCTAATGATGCCAGGGTGGTTTCGCTGATTATGATTCGTCCTAAGCATTCAGGTGATTGTCTATGTATAGTACTTTATGCATGAATAACGGTTTGAGGATGCGGGAGCCGATCGGTGGTTTTATCCCGGGAGCGAACAGAAGCTTTCCTCCCGGGTGACGAAACGTTGTCGATCATAGAGTGGAGTTATGTAGCGTGTTCGCGAATTCATACACCCCACGGAGCACGGAGTAGTCCGTCCTTCGTGTCAAATTTTACAAGGCCGAGATGGAGCGACAAACTCCCTAACCAGACGTTGCTGTAACTCCCTTGCTTTGTCCTACGACATGACCGACCTACGCCCACGGCCATGGAGTACGGGGGTATTACTACGCGCATATTAGCCACAAGCTATCAGTGGAGCTGGTTTAGAGCTCGAAGGGATCGATTAGCACACCACATGGAACGAAGTACGAGCCGGTTCTGCAAGCTTCTTGTCGATCCCCCAAATATTCTGACGCGTCCCGCACCCAAATTTCAAAAGATGACTTTTTCCATCAAGGTGGATATTAATATATTTAACAGAGTACTCCGTACGGAGTACTGTCTTCCTTCCGCCGTATTTAATGTGATACAACAGAGAGCTTATATCACACCTTGTGAGGGATGGCGTGACCCCGCCGACGATGATGATGATGATGATGATTCATGATCAGCAGATGAGCCCACAGCGGTGGTCTCAGCGGTTGTTTCTCCCGCCTTCTGGATGCTCATGTCGATCACGGCTCCATTGGTTGGAGGCGATATCTCCATTGAACCCACAGCCGGCGCAGGCGTAGAATTTCTCCGTAACACCTATTTTCCCGGAGGGAAGGGAATGCTCTGGCACTCGACTCATCAAAGACGTCGGTGGCGCTCTAAATTACCCCAGAAAACCCTACAAACGTGCCCTAAACATAGGCCAATACCCAGCGATTCCGCAGGAGGTCGACGATGCTCCGAGGCTTGATCGATATACCCCGGGCTGACCTACTCTATGGAGTAGGGCTTCAGTAGATTTCGCCTTTCGGTAAATAGGGGGATGCCCATCCGGGTTAGGTGACCGGCGCGTCGCCGCATCAGGCTGGAAAATAGGCCCTTCTTTCCCTCTCGCTACTTTAGCGAGTTCTGTGTAGCCTCGCCTGGACTATGCTGTGCCGCGGAACTGCTTTATGTTTGACGATCCCAGTGTCTTGAATGCTATTTTCAAGCCGAGTGGTGCCCGTCCATTTGCAACGAAACATTAATTCATTGCGAAGATTAGACACAAGAGAGCTCGTGAACATTGTCGGGGTTTCATCCTGTGATTCTGCAAATCTCATCCCCTATCTGCTACCAGTCGGGACATTGGAACGGTAGAGGGGGTTAGGCACTGGGTTCAAGAGAGGGAATGAGTGAAATTGGAAATAGTGCGTACTCGGTGCGCATGATCTGCGACTCGCGCCAAAGCTCTAGTGGACTGAGCTGGAAAGCTGGATTAAAAAGGAGGTCGGAGTGACTCTCAATCATTTGTGTTTATCTTCCCTCAAAAGTGCTCTTCCGCATTTCATACGCAAGCAAGACTGCGGGAAAGATCATAATGTCACCCTGATGTAAATCACCATGAGTGAACTTGATCACTCCATCACCCAGAAAGAACTCCGATAGAGATTTTGGTACTATAATGAATCAGGGAGGTACCACTGAGGCAATGTGGAAAACCAGTCATTAATCTCTTGATAGTCTTGAACAGTCTAGCTAATGGCATGGAATTTAAGTTTCGAGGGCATTTTTTCGAGAGGAAGCTGTGTGTGCTTGTTTGGCTCTGCACAGATAGGATGATGGGTCAGGAGAGGTCCAGAATCAATTCACTGGCAAAATAAAATTTTCTCTTCTAATAAGAGATGACTAACTAACTAAGCCAGGCCTAATATCAATAACTAGTACGGAGTACGCCGTACAGAGTGTAGTAGACTATAGGGAGCAGTCTGTCAAAATTCGTTCATCACTGGTTAAGTGAAAATGCCACATATAGGATTTTATTTCAACACAGTTAATGGATGTATGTTGTTTATTATTTCGCTTAGTCTATTTACAAACTCATAGCAACGTGTTACCTACAGTGTCAGAAATGTACTGTACATCATAGTGGCCATCCATCTGCAACATGACAAACTCAAGTGAGAATGATGACAGCCAACACTGCGCATTGCTCGTTCCCGGACATCCCATGGTATTATCTTCCCGATGCGGTCTCTCAGATGAATCTCCGTTGTTCCATTATTGTGCTGGTTATCTGTCAGCTTTCAACGGGCCACCATTCTCCGTGGCCGCGGAAAGGTCCAATGTAGCATCATCCTCGACAGGATCACGCAGCGATATGCAGATATATAGAGCAAGCAGCTTGCTCGCCGCAGTCACACAAAGCTGAATAGCAACCCACACAAAAAGCTCCAGGACTGTCACGGCCATGATTGAGGTGTATATCAGCGTCCCAGCAGTGTAGTAAATCGCCCACGAGAGCTGCACAGGCCATGCCTCGTCAACACCCTGCACTGCAGAAGGCCTGCCCGTTTTGGTTTGCCCGTTTACATCCTTCCGCCGGCGCCAGCTTTCAAACAAAGTATGCACAATCGCCGGAAGAACGCCGGTAATGCACCAAGTCACCGCGAAAACTGGATAGGTACAGCCCAGCGCGCTGCCCTTTGAATACAACTCCACCACCGCTAGTGCCCCATACGTCACCATCAACGCTGCAAAGCATACTGCAAGCAGCATTCTCATCGCAGACTTCGACTGCCGCGCAAACCCTGCGAACCAACTCCCGCGTACCCACGTCATCCACCGATGCACATCATCCTCTCCCCACGTCATCATCTCTCGCTTGACCGTTGGTTCCAGTCCCAACCCCCTAACCACCACTGCCGCGAGCCGCGGCAACGGCGCAGAAACCAACACGATTCTCCGCTCAGGCCAGGCGATGTCGCGCAGCGTAAGTGGAAGCAGACCCATGACCAGCGCCGTGGCGCCGAACTGCTGTTTGCGCGCCTCGTCAGCGGGCTCAAGGGTGCAGATGGCAGCTTTCCAGCAGAAAGATGAGCGTTTGCCGCCGGAGTAGAAGTTAAACCATGGGGTGAACGGGGAGTAGACGATGTCGTCTGGATGAGGGCAAGGCGCGGTGTCGTTGGCCGGGATCCGCTCATAGGCAGAGGCCAGAGGAAGGCCGAGGCCAAGTAGAAGTGGGAAGAAGTAGCTGAGGTGCATTGCTGTCTCGGAAGGTAGGTTGTAGGCTATTAGCCGATTCAGTTCGATCTCAGCAAGGTGGGGAACACGGGGATACGATTTCCCGTGTTTTTGGGGGGGCGACAGCGATGAAAGAGAGACAAAAGGAAAACAGATGCATTGTCTCTGTGGGGGATGCGGAAGGATTTTAAATCACTTTTGGTGTGTGTTTTTTTCCCAAGCCGCGCTTCTTCTCCGTACATGTGCTTTTTTTTCCTCACAAGGCCAGCCTTTAGCTAGGTACCCAACAGGTGAAGTGATTGGGTGCTTGGGCAATAGTTTATCATTATTTTGACACCATCACCCCTGTCATCGGGTGCAGATTGGGGGCCGGATACGGCCCGGCTACCCAAACAGAGCACAATGTCTTTTGGTCAAGTGGGGGACTAAATGCCCTGCATAACGGCGCGAAAAAAAGACAGCTCAGCCTTGAAGGAGCGGGCAACTTGAGTGAAGCATGGCTCCCGAGAGCTAGGATCTCACCTCTAGCAGGCAAGATCTGACAAGCTATTCATGGGTCGAAGCCGGTGGATGAACTCGCACGACCAAAGTGTAGCTCTAGACAAGGAGTGCTTGGGGAAGGGAAAAGAGAAGACAGAAGAGAAGGGGAAGCAAAGAGATAAAGATGTGACGACGCGCATGACAGTTGGCGTGCTAAACAGGTGGGCTGGAGCTTAAGCGAGAGGCTGAAAGGCGGGAAACTCAGGCCAGGGCCCGGGAGTCTGAGCACCCTATTGGGCCCAAGTTCCAACCCCCTACCACGAGCTAACTACAAGAGGAACAAAAGGCTGTGAGTGATGAAGAAGCTAGTTAACTGAAACAGACGTGGTAAGTCGAAAGAGGTTAGTTGGTGTTGGTAACTACTAAGAATAACTTTCAAACCCGCCAGATGAGCAGCTTCATAACAGTGCAAAATGGAAGCCTTTGAAGCAGAAGAATGCAATCACATGGCAAAGTAACTATATTAGCCAAATGAATTTGCATTCAGATTGTTGTTCCAGAGTACATAGAGCCAGGCCACAGAGTTCGAATTCAGTAAAACAGAGTAGAGTCATTGAGGGAATCTGTCAAATTTAGAATAGCTTGTGCACAGTAATCACTTTGTGTGGCAAGAAACTGAAGAATCAGTCCCGTGTTGAAAGATAAGTGATATTCACATAAGTTAATGAAGTACCATAGGAATGTTTTGTTCTTGTTTGGACTTATGAAGAAATGGTAGCAGAAAGATCTTTTATGTAGAGATCTCATCATGAATCACCGGGAATGGTTCCTTTTTTTTTTTCTTTTTCCCTTTTTTTTTTTCTTTTTGGTGGCAGGCAGATATCATGTGCTTATCGGACATGTATGATTAGCCTTCCTTTTCTCTGCATCTGTTGACAAGCTCCAAGGCCGCGCGCCTCTCTCTGACATTCTTGGAGGAAGAGGTAATCATCTTCCAGCTGTCTCACATGTACCACCATCAAGAGGTTATGTAGAGTTTTAAGGAGAAGAAACCGTCGAGCCAAGCTGTTGACGACGCGCTCTCTTCCCTTTTTTTTTTTTGTGGTTCTTTTTTGCGGTTGAAATACGAATATTCGTCAGACACACACACACACACACACACAAGCTGGAGGAGATTATCCCACACCATCAACGGAGATTTTGATCTGACTCTTCATTGTTATTATTATTATTATTATTCATGATAGTCTTATGCAGTCAGTGACTATGAAGACTACTCTCAAGGAGACGATGAAAGCTTTCTGAAACCTACGCAAGGATTCCTCATCCCCAAACCCCGGTTCCTTACCTTGTCTTCACTATCAGCCCAAAAAAAAAAAAAAAAAAAAAAAAAAAAAAAAAAAAAAGATACAGACGCGTCTGCTCCGTATGTCCGCACCTTTTTGCTTACACCTGGTGCGGTTTTCACATGTAAGTAAGATAGCCATGTACGGTACGGAGTACGGAGTACATATATGCATACTCAGGAGTGTACCCCGTACACGCGTCTATTCATCATCGTTGACAACCCGATCTCCGGGGTATATGCACGACATGCATACGAAGTACATACGGAGCTCCTGGTTACCTCATCTCCGCATATGTATGTACGCATTTCGCTTGAATCCACCACTCACATCGCACAAGGTGTCAAAATGCTCCCCAGTTTAATATACCTTCTCAAATTAATCGGGTTCCCTGTACATAAATTTAAACGGACGGGGAGCCTTTTTTTTTTTTTTCTTTTTCTTTTTTTTTTTTTTCGGTAGCAGGATGTTGGGTGCATCAGGAGTTAGTTAAGAATGCGTTATGACGTCATAGTTGTCCCGTCCGCCCCGAAAAATCACCAAAAAAAAAAAAAATAAAGGCAAAATTCGGAATTAGGTTCGGTTTGCGCCTCTCATAGCAAATTGAAGGCATAGGGTTAAAAAGAAAACTAAAATAAAATAAAATAAAATAAAAAGGAAAAATGTGACAGCATTTTCAATGGAATGGATTTTTTATGTTTGGTTTGGCTGCAGAAAGCCCAAGGGGCCTTCTTCCTTTTTTTTCCTTTTTTTTTTCTTTTTTTCTTTTTTTTTTTTTAGATTGTCGAGACCCTGTGTTTTCTTTTTTCTTCCCTGATCTTTGTGGAGCATCGAGAAGGGTGGCCTTCCTGTGTTGATGGAAGTTTGTGTTTTGGTTAAGATTTACATTTTCTTTTTCCCCCTTACCTTTTTTTTTTTTTTTTTTTTTTTTTTTTTTTTTTTTTTTTCCAAAAATTATCTAGTTAACGACGGAGTACTGTACGGAGTGTTGGAGGGGAAAATGGATGATTTCTTGACTGCGGGTGATTGGGTTGCCGGTCCCTCCGTACCGTTTACCTCCCGGGGTACAATTAGCATTTGACATGTGTATGTATAGAGGGCTAAGTCCGGAGTGCGCGCTTTCGTGCTGGATCCCCCCCTCCCCCCGTCTATGGGTAATTGGACAGAGAGAGAACGCACTCGTTGATGTCATTGTCGATTCGCGGATGTTAAAATTAAGATGGATGCGCGGAGGAGAGCTTCAGAGCCCGCCCGAAGAACCCCATTTTGCGGGAATAGTGAAACATAGGTAGGGATATTACTCCATGACATGAATCATGGATGTGGAGATATGAGTGGACGGAGGACTCCGTACCTATCATCGGGTCCTGCTAAGAAAAAAAAAAAAAAAAAAAAAAAAAAAAAAAAAAAAAGGAAAAAGAATAAGGATGTTGAAGATGAAAAAAAATTGCCCATTGAGCGACATCGTTTTTGGGTTCGTCATCGTCGGAAAGTCCACCATACCCACTCGCACGCCGTTGTGATGACGTCTTTTGGGGTGTTGGGGACGGCCCCCGCTGACTACTCAATGGATTTCTTCTTAGTGCTCCTTATTCTTCAGACGAGCTCAGAGGCATGGATGTCTAATATGTATGTATGCAGGCAGATGCATGTACGAGCATGGATTCTACACAGCCATGGGACCGTTGCTAGGGCAGGGATATCGACGTGGATCATCGTGGAGCACATCTGCTTCAGAAATGCGAGGAATGAACTGTACACGCCATAGATAAGCCCATATCATTATGCGTCATGCTCCATTGCTTGAGATGAGATACACTACTCCGTACATCTGAACATATCCCAGTACGGAGGGGAGTGGGTGGCTGACAATTAACTGCAAAAAAGTATGGAGTGATGTGCACTCTGCACGGGCCGCCGTTTTTCTTGCACTGTTGTCGACCACAAAGGTCCTCCCCCCGGCGGGTTCTAGACAATAGATACATAAAACATGATGTTTTTGTATGTACAGGAATGTATGCTTGGATGCTCTGTTTTTGAGTTCTTCACAGAGAAAGTAAGTACCGAAAATAACATTACACGGGCACTCCGTAAATAAGCGGGACGTACGGCGGAGTGCTCCGTCCAGAGTAAACTATTAAATTACTCCGACCATTGTCACTGCCAGCCTGGACACAGGGGCTGGCTGTTCGGTCAAACACCGCGTCTCCCCGGCTAGTTACTCGAACAAGCCACCGAAAAGCGAAACATCCTGCCGAGATCTGTCGCGGCAACGGGGCATCGAGGCAATTGACGGTGGCCACAGTACGCCTTCTTTCTCAAGACTAATTATCGTTTTTTTTTGGTAACGTCATAGCAATAAGAATCTAAACGACAGGGCAAATCCCGCGACATTCCCGCGGACCCGCTGGCGGAAGAACATACATACGTACGAGTAACCAATACGGAGGGACATGAAGTACGGAGTATGGGCTTGGGAGGGTCAGTGGTCCCCTAGCCAGAGCGTTCTAGACAATGGGGTCGGTGTGGGAGGCGTGAGCTTGCGACTACACAGCAGATTCGACCGGACCTAAATGCGCCCGGTCGACGGAGCGATCCTTGGGCGGGAGACGGACACAGGGAGAAACCGTATCTTCAGCCGCACGCTAGAGTTCCAAAAACAAAAGTAAAACCCCAAAAAGGATAAAAAAAACAAAAAGAAATGCGGGGGCAGAGAGAGAGAGAGAGAAAGGGGGAGAGCACAACCTAAAAGAGGACAAGATAGGGAAGACGAAAGCGAAAAAGGAAAGAGAAAAAAAAAAGAAAAAAGAAAAAAGAAAAAGAAAAAGAAAAAAAAAAAAGGAAAGCAGCGGACGATTTGGGGGGGGAGGCGCGCCCATGGGAGAAAGAGCTGGAAGCTGCGTGTCTGGTAAAGTTTGGCCTCCTGAAGCGACGGCGGGCGGTGATTGGGCGGGGGAATAGAGTTGCATGTGGCGTCAGACGTGCTCCACTTGCTCCTTCCACGGACGGGCGCCAAGCTTCTTCCATGACATCATCGCCTGGACCTGTGGCTTGCCCGCAGCTGTTCCCGGCGCGACTTCGCCCTTGGGTGGCTTGAGACAGCGCAGGCCGGGGGAGAGGAGAGAGTGTGTGTGAGGTAGCGGAAGCTAGAGGGGAGGGTAGGGAGAAGGGAGAAGGGAGAAGGGAGCCATTTTTCTGCCTGTCGTTAGCACATGAATGTATGCAATGATGTTTGTTGCGCACCAGGGGGGAACAGGGATCCAGGAGAGCAAAGAGGGAAACACAGCAGATGTCGCAGGCTGGACGCCCATGGATGGGGATGATGGGTGCACTGGAGTGCGGTGACGAATCTGGTGTGAGAACAAAAAAAAAGCCGAGTCTCTGTTACGTCAAAGCTTCACCACCCAGCGGCGGTTTGCGTTTTTCTGTCTTTTTGTGTTTTTTCCTTTCCTTCCTTTGCTGGCTGCTACTGCTACTGCTACCACCGCTACTACTGCTACTTGTTGACTTTACGAGGTTCGAGCTTTCCCTCGGCTTTGGGCCAATCATGCGGCCGTCCACTGTCCTTTGTTCCGATGGGGAAAGAGCCGAAAGCAGCCAAAAAGAAATAAGATTACTAAGACACGCGTCATACGTCCGCCGCCCGGCAAGCCTCCCCCTTTTATCAGATTCGCAGCGCTGACGGCAGAGGGGGGAAAGATCGCTGCGGTGGACCCGCGGACGAGGCCTCGGATTGGCTGCGTCCCGGGGGGCCCAGAAGGAACCTTCGCGGTAGCAGCTTCTGCTTCGTGACGCCATCGTTCTTTTTGCCGCCCCGCCCTCGCGCGCCGCCCCCTCACCCACACTCACACACACACTCTCTCTGTCTCTCGTGCACTTCCGCACTCTCTCTCTCTCGTCTCCCTCTCTCTCTCTCTCTCGCTCACGCTCACTCGACTCACTCGGCTCGCTCTTTCCACAACTCAATACGCCGTTCGCCGCCTTCTCACTTTCCTTCCCCCCCCTCCTCCTACCTCCACTCCCTTCCCTCACCTTGCCTGCCCGCCCGTCTTGCCTCCCTCCCCCCCACCTTCAAATCCACCCCATCCCATGTTTCCCCCATCCCGGTCCGTCATCGACGTCTTAGATCATCCATCCCCAAAATCTTCTAATGTATATATTCGAAGCTTCACGGGCTGCCCTATCCCCTTCCAGTCGCCGAATGGAAAAATATCCCTTTTCCCCTTCTTTCCGCCCCGTCTCCCTCCAATTGCCTCTCTACTGCTCATCATCATCATCAGCATCTTCAGCTGCTTCTGCTTCTGCTTCTTCTTTTTCTTCTTCTTCTTCTTCTTCTACTCTCCATCCCAATTGATTTCCGTTGGTTCCCATCCATCGAGCGTAAACTCTCCCGCTTACCGGCAATTAGAGATTCCTCCAACCGCCGGCCTCATATATCACGTTACCTCACACTCCTCCCCCCCTTCCTCTCTCTACTACATTCATAAGCCAGCGACCACGAGACCTTTCTCTCTGCACATATACACACCATCATTCGATCCCTTCTCCTCTCTTCAACTAGAAACTGGAGCTCAATTGATGTCTGTGCGTCCCTCAAGACTCTTTTTCCACTTCCGTCTGCTCTCCTCCTCCTCCTCATCCTCCTCCCATCTCCTGCGTCGCTTGCTGCCAAAGGATGTTTCGTAATCGGTACGTTTTAAAAAAAAAAGAAGCAAAACGTGGCAATGAGCGAGAAGGGAAAAAAAAATAATAATAATAATAAAGCAAGATAAAGCTCAAGCACGGAGAGATCTGGAGCAGAATTTTCTTTTTCCCTTTTTTTTTTTTTTTTTTTTTTTGGGTGGCAACCAGACAAAAGGCCCCAGACCACTCTGGAAGAGATATGCTGACCGTTTGATCCTTTGGCTTGTAGAAAGAATTCCCAGAAGCCCTCTGAGGAGCTCTACACCGATTTCAAGCAGTCCTTTCCCCAGATCTGCTCCAGCATCACCACCACGCTGGACGCCGCTCACGAGAACAACGGTGTCCTCGTCGACCCCGTAATTGGCCAGACTCTTACCCAGAGGTTGGTTCCTCCCTATCCAGGGGGTGAGTGGGATTTTCGAATGAAAGCCAGCCCAGCTGTTTAACAACTTAACTGCCTGCCAAAAAGAAAAGCAAAAAAGAAAATAGTATCAATTGAGCGTCGGAATCTGACTGACGGATTCGCCCCCCCCCCCAATAGGCCGATGATGGACGTAAAGGACAAGAAGGATACCGATGGCATCTCCAAAGTCCCCCCGGAACAGTGGAATTTCACCCCATCCCTGATGGACCCCAACTCCTTCGCCTTCTCTTCCTTCGCCAACCAGCCGCCTGCATACTACGCTGCAAGCCCGGCCGCCGGTGCTCTGTCCAACCCAGCTCACTCGGGAGATATGCCCACCCCGAACATGGCTCTCAGCCTCCTCACACCGCTCCCGATACCTCAGTCCAGTTCTGCTGACCCCTCGATGCCTCACTCAGCCATCGACCTTGGCTCGTTCCATCAACCTTTTATCCCCCATCAAGGACACGGCGTGGACCCGTTTGGACAGACTCATGGTTTTGCACCGAGTACTTTCCTTCGTCGTGACCCAGACTTGTCTGCGTTGGGCCGCTCACTGGAAGATCCCACTTTCAGTAACAGCTTGGGCTTGAACAACCCATCTCTGGGACTGGTCCCGGGACGTCTCTCAGAATCTGCTGATGGGTTACAAGGCCATAACAATGAAAAGTATGCTGACATTCTCTCTCGAGAACTCCCTCCCCCGAAAAAAAAAAAAAAAAAAAAAAAAATATATATATATATATATATATATATATATTAAGAGACAAGTCGTTCCTAACTTTATCTGCTGCCACAGCTTCCGATTCCATGCCACGCTCCGTGCATCGACCGCCATGGTGAAGGATCCTGATGAAATCCCGGTAACATACCTAAATAAGGGCCAGGCGTACACGATAAACATCATAGATACTGCTCCCATGGCCTCGGGCTCTCAGCAACTTCGGTATCGCACCTATATCCGTGTTTCATTTGAAGAGGAGGAACAACGTTCCAAACCAGCGAGCTGTTGGCAGCTGTGGAAGGAAGGTCGCGGGACAAATGAAGCCCACCAACGTGACGGCAAACTTCTAGCTGTTGAACATGTTGATCCTAACCAGGGCGGAGCTGGAGACGGCCGGCACCCCCGTGTACAGTTGGAAAAGGCAAACTTTGATGGGTTTTCTGTCCTTTGGGTACCCAGCAGAACCACGGGGAATCCGGAATGCGCTATATCCGTTCGATTCAACTTTTTGTCAACTGATTTTAGCCATTCTAAGGGCGTGAAGGGGATTCCGGTTAGGCTATGCGCGAAGACGGAGGTCATAGCCACGAGCAGCTCAGAGCCTCCGCTTGGTGACTCTCCTGAAGTCTGCTACTGCAAAGTGAAACTGTTTAGAGATCACGGAGCGGAAAGGAAGCTGTCCAATGATGTTGCGCACATCAAGAAGCTGATGGAAAAGATCAAACAGCAGATCACCCAGGCCGAAATTGGGTCTGCGAATTTTGATAAGCGGAAGAGAAGCTGCTCTATCAGCTCCAAAGGGATGGTCAAGTCAGCGAAACTCGGAAAGAGTAAACGGCCGTGGTCGATCGGGTCGCAAGACGGAGTCAAGTCGACTCTGGAGGAGGATTTGCAAATCAAGCTGTCGAACTTGAACGACATGTTTTCGTCCACACAACCCGTCAGCGTTCTCAACCTGAAAGGTGACCCTCAAGATGACCCCGACCTGTTTCCTGTTCAACTGGACACGACGCTTGATGAGAATTTTGTACAACGCATGAGCTTCGACTCCGCGCAGTCCAACGATGGTGCGTCGGCAACTAATGCCTTCTCTCCTTCTCCTGGCAACCACTCACCCAGTTCCTCTCACCATTCTTTCGAAGCAAAGGGCGCAAATTTCATGAACGAGTCGTATTCGACTTCGAGACATGGGTCGTTGGATTGGTCAAGTGCCTCGCAGCGCGGTGGCGACAATATGAAGCATGGACAATTTATAAACCAACCGATCAAAGTCCAGCGCATCTCCGCTGATGACTCCAATCCCGGATCTGATACCTGGATTGAAGCTATGGGCGTGGACAGTAATTATGAACCTCCTAATGACACTCCAAAGAAGCCAAGTATGTTCGAACCCCCTCCCCCCCCAAAAAAAAAAAAAAAAAAAAAAAAAAAAAGGAAAAAAGACAAGTTAAAAAAGAAAATCCTTGTCCACTTGTACCTTAAATCCGATTGGCTAACGATATAATTCGTTCTCGTTTGCAGAATGTTGCTTCTACGTCCGCGCCCGGCAAAGCATGGGACAGAAGGGCGAAGACTATTATCATGCGATCTACCTAGCGGAACGCACTGCGAAAGGATTAATGGAAACAGTTGCCAAGAAGTGTCGATTCGATCCGGCACGAATTGTGCGGGCTCTAGTTATTCGCGGCAATGGCTTTAATGTCGTTTTAGATGATGATGTTGTCCGCGAGATGCCGGAAGGCCAAGACATGACTGTTGAATTCTCCGAGCTGGAAGACTCGGGCCAATCGGGCATGGACCTCGACGATCCGAAGTCGCCGGTTACAGTGTCTGATATTGAAATGCGATTCTTTTTGTGAATTGCAATTTGAGAAATACAGATACCTGTTGTATTCCATGCATGAGCGGTCTTTTGTTTTTTTCTTTTTTGTGCAAATCATTGACTTTCCAGGTCCCTTGTTTATTTCAAGCTGAGCGCATTCGGTCCTTTTTCAAAGTCTCCTGGCTGCTAAACCATTTTGGAAAGATGGGTACCTGCTTATGGCTTTTGCAAATCTTGTTGGCTCTCATTTCTGTTCAAGCGTCGGCGAATATTTATGGTGGAAAAAAAAAAAGGATCAAAAGCACTATGGGTAATGAACTCTTATCTTGGACATTGCTGTTTACTGCTCTCCTCTTCTTTTACCTTTCCTCTACTTCCATTTGATATTATGTGCTTTTCTTCCTACGGTGTACATTTTTCTTGATTGAGGAAGCGCAGTTTTGTCGCAGGTCTGCAAGATTTCTCCTCACAAACGAGGGCGAGCAAAGGAGTTGGAAATTCAAACATGGCATTGCCTCTCGCTTTTTTTTCTCTCCCCCCTGAGGACCTTTTTGGCCTGGTAATCCTCAGTCTCTTTCCAGGCAGTGTCCTAATTTATTTTTGTTAGGTTTTTTTTTGGTGGCTGATATAATAACTATGTCTTTAATGATACCACCTCGGTTTTCGACATTCGGCTCTTCTAATCTTCATTTTTCCCTTTTTCTTTTCTTTTGCTTGCTTCTTTTATTAGTATTATTATTATCATCATCTTTTGCTTGCTTTTTCCATTTTCTGTTCTGTATGTGGGATGAAGTCCTGCGTGTATCTCGATGAACTCAAACTTCTTTTTTTTTTCTTTGGCTGGCCTATTTAGCCTAGAAACTTCCCCCCTCTTCTGATGGATTGGCGTGAGATGAGTTGGGGAACTTATGGTTATAGGATTGAGGAGTGACTCCCTTTTGTATTGATTGCGCTGGATATAGTGCATGTATGCATATGCCTATTGCTTCGATATCCTGATATGGGGTGTGTATTTGTACCTTGGATTTTTTTTTAAGGGGTTAGGTTTAATAGGCGTCTTACTAAAATAAAAAGTGAGGAAATATGTCAATCAAAGTATGTAGAATAAGCTCCACTTTATATACCAGAGTGATATATCGGGGTAAAACTAAATATTGCCCCCCTTGTCGTGGAGCAAGCTAGATACATGATATCCTCGAAAGGCGATCTGCTCTGATCAGTAGTAAATCCCACTTCGTACCCCTCCAGCACCGGGGCTTAATGCTACAGCCAACCACTACCTGGCCGGTATCGACATTTCTCTCGCTTCTGGCCCGCTACCTATCGGGGGCCGAGTTCTCTTTGCGGGAAAAAAAAATATTCCCGTGACATCAGCTGCCACGTATGCAACTTGAAGTAACCGGTATCGTACCGTATGTAATTATTCTCCTGTAGCTGGCCGTTGGGTAATATCTCGCAACCCATAGCGAATTAGAAACTTTCTGATCTTCCCGCTGGCCCATTAGGATCAGATCATTTTCTGGCAGGTCCATCCTGGATGCCATGGGGATCAGAGGCTTGGCTGTTTCTCCGAGAAATTTAGATCTGCGGGAGCGGAAGATCAGAGAAAGAAAGTAGAGGGCGAGATAGCGACGGATTAATGGTTGTAAGTTTGACCTGGAAGGTGGCAATTGGATATTTTGCCGTCGAGGAAGACGGCAGCATAGCAACGGCATCGATATATATATATATATATATATACGGCCATGGCCTTGTTTAATCGTTCCAGGCAGATGATGAGACTATGATGTAGATATAAACAAGAATATAGACATTGCGTATCTGATCTTATCCAAAATCACCATCGGAAATGGCGCCGGCGAGCTAAGCGTTGCATTATCTGACAGCTACATACAAAAAATGAAGGAAGAAATAAACCTGAAAGGAAAAGAATCGCCTCCCTGAGAAAAACTAAGAAATTTCTTAGCGTGAGGAGATAGGATGTTCCGTTCCGACCCTGGGCTTACTCCCATCACTCCCCCATCACAGCCCTGCACAAAGTCACCTTTCCCCCAGCCAAAGGGGGACCAATACCAGATTCACATTGTTATTAAGAGCCTGAAGGGGCTTAGCGTGAACGGGAGGAGCCTCTGTAGTGACGTAGGACAGTGTTGAAGAGGAGCTGCCACATGGATTGTTGTGAGAAATTAAGCACATTTAGCGTATGCGCTAAATTTAAGCTCCCGCCTTAGCGTAAGTTTATTTCAATATCAACGGGTAGCAGGACAGGGAGACGGAGGACTCGGGGGGGAAAGGTAGGAACTGCAATTGTTCTTCATAAAAGGGAGAAGTTGCGGGATCCAAAAACGAAAGGTATCGTGAGGCCCTTCCACCGGCTGTTCGAAGTGGAATGGAGCAAGACGGGCTTGTTTTCGCAGAGTGCCAGGGAGGAAGCTGCTCGAAAGTGTCAGCGCCACTTCCGCCGTAAAATAGGAACGTCGTTCAAGCGTTTATGGGCTCATATATGTTTCAGTTCAGTCACCATAGTTCCCCTGGGACGGCCAAAGGGGTACGTCGACGATGGCGGTATCAAACCGTGGGCCGTGAATGTAAGGACTACTACGTATATTAGACACGCTTGAGACTCCTTAATTGCTCTTGAAGACGGAAATAGCTTTAAATACGATATCAAACGACCTCCGGAGCCTGGTACACTTCCGACATGACGGGTGGACCGTTCTGCGAGATCAGGACAAAGTCACCTGCTCCTGTTTCGAAGCCGGAGGATCGAATCAGAGCTCACCAAATCAGCAACAGGCTCTAGATCACGTCTCTCGCTTGGCGATAGCGTGGGGGCCCCCAGCAGTATAAATTACTCTTTTCTCTCCGGGAAAGCTTCTTCTTTTCTTCTTCTTTATTTTTCAACAGCTATTTATCCAAAACCAATAATTAGCTACCTTTTCAAATTTTCAAACATACTCAAAACCGAATCCCAACATAATGAACACAAAGATCGCAGCGGCCATTTTGGCCTTCACCACTCTTACAGTCAACATCAACGCCGGTAAAAACCAACCACAACCCTCCCTTGCATCCGCTGTGCTCGACATTGTCACTGACTCCGTATCAGACATCGATGCCAACAAGGTCAACGTTCGCGACAACGGCGACCTTGCTGCTACTGATGGTAAGTCTTTTGCAAACACTGACAACAGCCAGTTTGCTAACTCGACGACAGACCCGATAGTCGTTACCGTCACCGTCACTGACTGCAGCCCCGCAAGCGTCACAAGCCCAGTCATTAGCACCACTGCTACCTCCATTCCTGTTTCCTCTCCGATCATTGAAACCAGCAGCGTCTTCAGCTCGGTTGTCACCAGCGTCCCGACCATCAGCGAAAGCACCACTCCCTATGTCACTTCGAGCAGCACCGAAGTCAAGGTGTCTTCGTCCACTGAGACCGAGGAAACAGAAAGTACCTCAACTGTTCCGGCCTCCACCACTGCTCCGGCCCCAAGCAACGACGCGACCCATGTGACTGGCGTTACCGGCGGTGTCTTCGGCGCTTTGATTGTTGCAATTCTTAATATTTTCTAATGGATCTTCGTTTCGGATTGAGTCATCTCTCGGTGGTTTGTCTTGCTAATAAGAGCTTGATATGTATTAGCGACAAGTGTCGAAGGAACTTGGATGCTCGGTTGAACTTGATGAAATTGTCTAGCAAGTTGTAATGTAACGAAGAGAAGAATTGAACAATTATTGTAATTGCTCCTGTCGATAGTATCATTTGATACGATTGTCTTCCCAATCTTGCCTGTGTTTGCTTGTAGGCTGTAGTTCCCATGACAGCACAATTGGAAATTGTCGACAAGGCGACTACCCCTGCCTGTCCCCACCACAGCCGCCCTCCCGCCCTCCACGCGGCTGTGTTTTCTTTTCGTATCATCATTATGAATTGATGTCGAAAGAGCTAGACGTTATACTTAGATCCTTGGAAGACGCGCGAGATATCCATGGGCACGCCAATTGTCAAACATAGAATACATCAGACCGGGATGTCGACAGCATCATCAACAATCTCAAAGTTCGTCAGTGTTTATGGTGCCCGTCATCTTTGGTTGCAAGGAAAATAAATTAGACACGTTCCAAAAGTCTCGACCCCGCAGAACTGTCTTTACATACTTTATCCTTTTCAGCAAGGTGAACTGCCTGGGATACAACCACAACAAGGGCAAATATACGCGCAGCGCTTAATCGAGTTCATTTCGTGTCTCTCAAGAAGCCGCTGGGACCAGGTGCAGATGGATATCGTCTATTACTCTTACTGGCCTTGGGTCACTCTTTTCGACGCACAGATCTGACATCCATCGCCGATTTTCTCACGTAATAGTCTAGCATTTGTGACTTTGAGACCAACAGTACGCGACAAAAGAGGTGACGAGTCTTCGTACAGCGTTGATTGTGAGGGTTCCAACTGCGAATGTCCTTCGCCAGATGAATGGCTCCATGGAGTCAGGTGGAGATGAGACAGATGATAGACATGTCCACAAGCGAAGCCGACCAGCGGCTCTTTTTCTGCTGAAATATGAGCATCCAACTGCTGTGACGGAGTATATTTGGGATAGATAAATCTTACCTTGTTCTATGAATTTGGAATGACAGCCAGCGCAGCGGCCTGGCTCAAAGGTTTGTTTCTTCTCCGATGATTCCACGTTTCCTTTTGCATCTAGTTCTTCTTTTGGCTCATTATGTTGCGACCCTGCACTCGTAGGTTTGGCTTCTTCGTTGGGTACGATGTCAAATTTGATGCCTCGCCGTTGTCCCTTCCGAAGGGTGTCCATTCGCATCGAAACTTCACCCGCAAGGACTTTGGCAACGCCTTGACTGATGCTAGCTTGGATATCATGTTCGCGAATCATCCTTGTCAGACCCTCTCTCAATCCTTGGATCTCCAATCCACTCGGGATTCGCTTCACCAACGTGATCGGATCGATTGCTGTTCCTGCTTCAACAAGCAAACATCGAATATATTCTGGTTTATCCATGGAATACGAAAGAAGGTCTTCCCAGAGATCGGGGTCATCTTGGGATTTGGCAAAGGATATAGCATGCGAGACGTCTCTTAGGTCTGATAGAATCAAGTGAAGGGCTCGTTTGGTCTGGCCGGTTTTGGAGAAGAGGTAGATAAGTTCCGGGGTGAAGTGACGAAGCTCACAAGTTGCGCACGCTGCATTGTACGAATATGACGTGTTGGACTGCAAAAAGTCCATAAGTAAGGGCCGATCATAGTCTGCGAATAGCTCGACCACCGTATCCGCAAAGGCATCGATCAATAGCCTCCCTTCATCAGCGACAAGCTTATCCGCAGCGCTTGTTCGATGATGCCCTCGTATTGGGGTTGTCCCCTTATCGGTGGTCGTTGAGAGAAAATCCCCTTTCCAAAGGGCGCGAACATAAAAGTACAGGAAAAGATGCAAATCTGCCGCTTGGAGCTGGGAGATAACGGTGGCTGGATGTACAATTCCATTAACCGCCTCGCGTACGAGGAGTTTGATAGGTTCAGATGTGGCTGCTTCGAGCTCGGAAATGGATGCACTTTTAATTTGATCCTTTGACACTCGAATGAGAATAAGACCCGGCACATCGTCTGCGACTGCATCAAGCAAATGGTGCTCTCGTATAAGAGACATGGCAGTTTCTGCGTCCTGAAGTCGAATATAGCATCGTAATGCTTCACGATAGTGTCCTCCGGCCAAGAACAACTTTGCAAGGCATTCTGTTAAAAGGCGGCTCTGATCTGCTTCTTCCGCTGCAATTGAAGACTTTATCTGTTCATTGATGGCAGCTATGACGCTATCAATGTCAAAAAGATTGGGCGGCCAGAGGTCAAGCAACTCCTTGAATTTCATATGATTTCGTGAGACGTAATGCCCAAGGATCACTTCGTAAACTAGGCCAGGCAATGGAGGGTGAATATCGAGGGGAACATGAGATATAATCTCGTCAAACTTGTTGTTTTTCGCGAATATCCAGATCCAGTGCTCCCATTTTGGCGTTGTGGTGAGCACCTTACCACACACGTCGCCAGCTTTCTCCCAGTTGTTGTTGCTAATAAGCTGCTCCAGCCACGACTCACCAACATTTTGTCTCTCTTTCTCCAGCTTTATGTTGTCTGCTCGGTCGACTGGCTCTGAAAATAGCCCAATAACGCTCCCTCGACGTTGTTTCGGAGTGCTCAAGGGGCTTTCACCTTCGTCAATATCTTGAGCTACGGCTTCTGGATGTTGCTGAAGAAGTTCCCAGGCTTCTTCATATTTCTCATGATCCTTCAACCAGGAAAGACGGTCTTTAACATCTCTTTTCACGGCAACCACACAGTCATATGGGCTGTGAATGAAAACTTTGATTCCTTCGCTAGCCAGGATCGCAAGTTCTTTACTATCGTGATCGGCAACCGGAGCATCGGCCAAGCTTGACGGCTTCAGGCTCGATCTTCTATCCCCACTACTTGTCGCGCTCCGAACGCTACTTGCGGAACTAAAAAGGCGAGTCGGATACAGGGTAGCATCCAGTATACCCGTTCCGATTGTTTCAAACGTTCCTCGGCGTATGGGGGTATCGAGGATTTTGGCTGGTGGCAGAGCCCCAAGGTGATAATCGGACGCCGAAAGACTCTCGTAGCGGCGCATGGTAAGCGTGTCGACGCTAAGTTCCTCTTTGGTCTCGATGTCAATGAGCCTTATCTCTGGCTCGAGGCCGTTTTGTCGATGTCTAACGCCACGAGTTGGCCCAACCTGCTTCCGTTTTGACTTGCCATCGTCTTCGGATGCAACATATGATAGGACAAGCAGCACATTGGGGTTATAAAGCGAAACTCCGGACACAATGCAGTCTGTGCGTAATCTATGAAATGATTAGCTGCGCATCGACAGACGCATTTAATATATATATAAAACTCACATTGCGACAACCTCTGCGGAACCGATTACATTCTTTCGGGGATCTTTATCGCGCCCTGGGGGGAAAACGTTGATCACCCAGATGGTTCCTCCCCAGCCCACCACCAATCTTTCTCGATGGTCAAGCTTTAGCTGCCCAATATGCGCCTCACTTGTACCTGGCCCACCCGGGCAGGTATCTTCATCTATCCATTCAGCTCTGGGCTTCCATACACCCGCCATTTCGTCCCACTGTGGGCCGCGAGGACGGTCAACATGGTTCATCCGTTTCCACGCGAAGTCCGAGTCGGCGTTATCCAAGTGTAGGTGAGACCGCATAATTTTGATCCCTTCCTCATTAACCCAGACGATATACTTCCCCGACAATGACCACTTGATGGCGCTTATACTCCCTTCGCCAGAGTGCAGGACAGTGTCCTTACCATTATTCCCACCGAAGCCTAACGCTCCGAACCAACCGGACGGGCTCGCAGTAGCACCGGCCATCGTGGTTGAATTTGAACTTGTTCCAACACGTCCACCGACCGTAAGGACTAAATCGCCAGCAAGTCCTCCGGATAAATAAGTTTTGTCGCTTTTATAATCCGGGGACAGGGCGACGGCTTGGACAGGGCGACCAAAGTTCCGAAGGAGTACATCTTTGGGGTCTAACAGCGACGAGACACATACATTCCCATCGATGGAAGATGTGGCTATGTATATCGCGTTTGAAGGAGAATGGGGTACTGTCGTTTGTCGCGATTGTCCAGGAGACTTCGACAGGTCCACCGATGCGCGGCTTGATGAATCCGCCAGGGATGCGTTCTTTCCACTCGTGTTGGAAGACAGAGGTGGTGGGAAAGGAGACATCGATACGGAGGTCACGCTGGCTGAATGGGCATGATACACTCGAAAGCGCTGGAAGGTCGAAGCGTCGAAGACAAGCTACAGAGCTTGTTAGTTGAAAAAGAAAAAAAAAAAAGAAAATGCACATGTGGTGAGCTTCTTGTGCATACAATATTCCCATTATGAGTGCCAACAATCTAGAGATGATCAGCCAAATTCACGCATCTGTTTCGCATCCAAGACAGGACATACCATTTTATCCCCACCAACGAGAAAGCTGCTTGTCGCATCGCCATTGCGGTACACTGGGCTTATGCTTTTGGTGAAGGAGACATATTTAAGTCGTGGCTCTTCATCTTCATCCTCGCCGTCTGACTCCTCCTCATCCTCCTCCTCCTCCTCCTCTTCGTCGTCATCGTCATCATATTCTTCTTCGCTCCGATGGTTGTTATCTTGCTCCGCTTGTCTTTCCCTGGCGGACGAACTGGGACTAGAAGCTGACTTTGAGTCCCCAGCTTCGGGTAGGATCGCGTCATCCGCCATTTCAAACCGCCTTTTTTGAACCAGCAAGGAGGCTAAGGGAATTGGAGCTTACATGACAGTAAGTCTATCGTTTGGGAAGCTTCATAGCAATCTAAGGTAGGAATTGCGCGATAACCACAGAGGAGAGAGTGAGCATTCTGAGCTGTTGTTTATGGTTGGGTTGGTGATGAGCTCATTGCCCTCTGTTAGCGCCTTCACGGAGGATAGTAAATCCGGATTGCCTGCTCGTGAACCTACTGAACAACCCGGGAGGAACAGGAAGAATCAGCAGAGAATAAAACACCCGCCGCAAAATCTCTCCCCGTCTTCCCTTCTCTCCGGAGCTGCACCTGTCCGGCGGCTTCTCTGAGGAATTCGACGCCCTGTCTGCCAGCTTCAAGGAAGGAGGAATGCCTTCGCTGCTCCTGCAGCCAGCAATGGTCCTAACTCTCCGTCCCCGTCAGTCTTGTCCTTAATCCTCTCCAAGTGATGTTTGCGCCTCGAACCGTATCCAGATTGTTAGGGCCCTCTGTGCGTTGCGGAGCTCCAAGACGGTCTGCACCCGTCTTCGGCATCCGATTGCTTTCCCTTCGCCGCTCCCCCCAGCAAACTGGCTTCTATTCATCAAAGTCAATTCCCGAACCTCCCGTCGGCGAGAATGCCTCGGTAGACTTATCGAAGGCAAAACGATCGTCCAGATCTCCAGCAGCGAAAACATCTCTGCGCCGGGCCGCCGTGGAAGCACAGCTTTCAAAAGATGGCAGAAGAAAACCTCACCCGAGCGAAGAGCCGCTTGCTCAGACCAAGGTATGTTAGTTCTGCTATACTTGGGGAGTTTCGTTATGGGCGCTTATTGTTGTATTACTTGGAACAGATGGTTACAGCCTACGCTGTTGCCGAACAGTTCGACATCGGAAAGGTGATGAAAATTCTGTTAGCAAAGGGCTATGAACCGGATCCATTCGAAACCGGCCTTTATCCTCAAGTAATCCACGTACAAGTCCCTCTTGACTCGATACGAAGAACCACAAGCTTGGCCGCATCGGATTTACCGGCGGATCAGGTTGGAGACGTTTTCATCTTCCCGTCAGGCACAGTTGTATCATGGTCTCTACCGGAAGGATTCACGTCATACCTTGCGAGCACGGTCCTATTACCCGCAGCTGAGAATCCGCATATCGCCGATATGGAAACGGAGCATTTAGAATATTCAGAAGATCCCCAGCGTGATAGCAGTACGATGAAAGGCGATAAGATCATCTTGGGAACAAAGCCCACCCTGGAAAATAATCGCCACGAATACAACCGTTCAGAGAGGCAGTCGGTAGATACGGTCTTTACCAAGATCGCGTTCTCCTCAGGGTTGGCTAGAAGCACAAAGCTGGCTGTCCTGGAGAGCCTGTTGTCCAACTATTTTGACTCGACACGAAATATCCCTACCCTCCTTTCCAAAGGAACGCGACTGCCGTACTCACGAGGATTTATCCTGCGCAAGACAGGCCAGCTTCTTAGCTTACGAGCGCAGTTGAACCTCTACTCGGAGCTAACAGATTCTCTTCCCGACCTGTTCTGGGACAGCAAGCATGAACTTGGCCTTGAGGGCAATTATGATCAAGTTGGAAGGGCCCTTGACGTTGGAATACGTATTAAGATTCTAAACGAAAAGATGGACTATGCCCAAGAAATTGCTAGTGTCCTTCGTGAAAGACTGAGTGAAACGCACGGCTTACGACTCGAATGGACCATAATTCTATTGATTGCCGTTGAGGTGGGCTTTGAAGTCTTAAGGCTATGGAAAGAAAAGAAGCAGGAGGAAGCCGAGGAGAAAAAAGCTTCTGCCTCGGAATCGGTCATCTCTACATAGTACATACTCGCTACACATATTCTGCTCACGCACTGCGTTTTTCGGCGCTGGCCTGTAATTTTAGCGAAAATACCCCTTCCCTCAACTGAGTATAGATGTGGTGCTTTTTCTGGGGTTTATGTTGATGGGTCATGACTGATCTATATATGATATAAGTCTGGGAACGTCATACTGGAGTCGAATCTGATTGTATTGCTTTTTAACCTACAAGACATAACCTTGGGTAGCTGTAAGCGCTGCATTTCATAACTACATAACATAGGCAAGTAGTCAAATTTCATATGTCCTTTTTATTTTCGTCGCCTTAAAAAATGGAAATATGGCGAACGATACCTACAAGAACTAAAAATTTCTTCAAAACGTCATCTTAGTTCGAATATCCGTCCCAATAAAATCACAGGCGAGCCGCTCTTGGCGGGGGCTCAATTGTGTCTCCCTGAACTTGACTGCCTCTAGAAGCGCGCACCATTTGACACCCAACCGCAAGGAAAATATCATCATCTGAGGGCTGATCATCCGCGCTGCATCGTCTCAGACTGCTCGCAGAAGGCGATGGAACATGTATCTCATCAAGCTCTGCAAGCTGGTGTCCATCGCAAGAGCGTGTCGAATGTCTGATAAGGGGTTCGTTTGAAGAACGATGTTTGGATCTAAACCGACGCAAGCGTACGTCCAAGCGAGGCAAACGTACTGGCAGCGGGGTGTGGCTGGCGTTAAATTGTGCGGCCAAGGCCTGGCATTTAACCCCGTAGAAACGAATTGCGGGTATCGACATAATCAGTGCTATAGCGAGGCACTGGATGGCACTGAGAAGCCAGTATGACAAGATTTGCGCTTTTTTTGAGTAATGTTAGCTGTGGGGAAATGATTCAGAACTCTTTTTGAATAAAGGACAGAGGGTCTTTTGGCAATAGGGAATCTTCATAGTACTTACCAACTGGGCTTTCTTTACCATCTGCGTCATGCATGTACGCGTAACGCATGGCGGGTGGTGATAAAGCGCTGTTGCATTCATTAGATATAACCGAGGCAAGCAATGCTTCACTTACAAGGCACCTAACACTGGCCCTAACGCAATCCAAACCTGTCTTTCTCTTTTAGACGCCAAACAAAACATCCACCGAATCGGGAGGAGAAAGAAGACTATGTCACAAACAAGGCTGCTGCTAACAACAAGCCTCCACCAGGATAGGTTGGGAAAAGGTGCGGCAGGAGTAATATATGTGCACTGCTCACCCATGGTTTCCCCATAGCATGACACGAGTGTGGGTAGGAGCAGGCTGAAGTCATAGAGAAGTAACAGAAGGCAGCAGAAGATAATGTTGCGGAATCGACTTGATCTGTACAGGTTCCAGAATTCTGCATATAGAAACGTTCTGGCAAGTAAGAGTGATAAATGGAAAGTAGAATATGCCACCACATAAGTCTCAGCAACCTAAGAATTTTCATATCACAACTTAGTGAATCCACAATGTGTAATGAGACTCAGATAACAGGCTTACTCTAGAGGAATCTGCAGCATCGAAGGGGTCCTTAGAAAACTGCTCGCGGATCGCTAATCCAAAAATCTGTGAGCATTGCCTTGCTCAACTACCCTCAACTAAAGTATATGGTGAGGGTATTTACTTACCCTCAGATAATGTTATGGTAGATACCAGGCCCAACAACTGCTCCAACAATCATCAGTGGGTGTCAAACCAGATTTCAGCGGAAGACTGTAAATGCATACCATAGATGCGAGAGTGGCCACTTCCCGCAACGCCACGCGCCAGGGCCAAGTGAAAGAGATGAAGGCAGCAACTAAAAAGAGAGAAATTAAAACAGAGCATAGAACTGATACAGCATAAGCATGCGTCGCCTGCTTGGATAACTCTAGAACTCCATCCATCTTGGTGAATTTCACGGGAAAGGATAAGAAAGGGCTTTAGGTAATATCTTAGCGACACGCGTCGACAGATACCTGAACACCTAACGGATCACGGGGTAATATGGGGAATCGGAAAGGAGCACAAAAGGGCCTGCCAGCTTTACATGCTGAGGACTTTTAAAGGAAGAATAGGATATTGTCATATCCAAAGCCACAAGCCAGCACTCATGTTGCTCTTTTTTAACTTCAGGTTGAAATCATATCAAGTTGTGGTAACGATGAAGTCACCATCTCTTTCTGTTGAATCGATAGAACACCACAGTCAAAAGCACGGAGAGTGCCTATTATTCCATTTTTCAAGGTAACAAAAAAAGAACTGCGGCGCAGGCTCTCATCTTAGGGTTGGATATGGGCGTCCTAACACAACGAGAACCCCGAGAAACCCTCCCGTTGTGGGATTGAAGGTCGGATGGACGAAATTGTCGCCATCTGAAAAGTTCAGAGGCCCTTTCCCCGAGCAGATATAACCATGGTACGGAGCCGTAGCTTTCCTGAAAGACCCTTGAAGGTCATCTTGACGTCGATGCGTCGCATATTTTGGACAGGAACAATGAACGTTGAATTAAGCGCGCAGATTTCTATACTGCAGCCCAGCGCAGCTTGGCATCTAACTAGTTATTATTGGCTAGTTACTCCGTACAGTGAAACGCCATCCAAGATCAAAAACCAAAAGCCGATCGCAAGGCCAGGAAGTCGATGGTATCAAAGTGAAGCACAAGAAACTATCTGCACCAAAAAAAAAAAAAAAAAAGGGAGGTCGTGGCATCGAAGGAAATAGATCGAAATCATACGGCAAAAGCATCCAAACACAAAAAACCCAAATCTTCGTCAAAGGGAAGGTCATAATGTTGTACAGATACATACTCTAACCACCAGATGAAGCGGAAATACGACAAAGGAAAGCCAAGCTAAGTCTCCAAACAATCATGATAACTGACTCCAGGGAAAGAATCAAAATACGCTGAGCTAAAAGACATACCAGTATAAATCAAGGAGAGTAGAAAGGGAGAACGTGACGCCTAAGCTCCGTTTTTGATGGTGAACCGGTCAAAAAAGGCTTCGGTTTCGGGAGAAAAAGATACCGGAAACAAATGAGTGTTAAGTAAATCGGATCCATCCGCGTCTCCATGGCTTAGGAAATATTCATCGTCGTACTGAGACGAGTTTGGCTCCGAAATATCGGTTGTTGATGGGTCAAGAGCGGGAAGTTGGTCATGGCGCATCGTGGCTTCACTTGCATGGCTAATAAACACATCGTCCAAATTTGGATTATCCGTCTTGTTTATACCATCCGACCCTATCGTTGTTGGCCAAAGAATCCTAGCCGGGGATTCGGTGCCTACTTCAGTTTTGACTGGCAGCGGTGAGTCAAGAGCGAGCAATGGGATATCGGGAATCTCTTCAGGGATATCGTCCAAAGGCCTTTTGCTTGGTGAGAGGTACAATGGGTTGAGTTCCGGATCCAAAGCTAGGGAGTGATAACTTCGAGCAGGTGATGGCATATTCCCGGTGCTATGGCTAGGCGACGCGGGTGGAGTAAATGAAAACGTATCTGGGTGTAGACCGAACGTATTGTTTGGCATGAACGGTAAGTCCTTTGATGGACTTCCTTCCCGAACACTCGCAGAGTCGGCGCATTCGCTTGCAGAAGAGATAAAAGAAGCACAGGAAGATTCGGATAGCGTGCGTGTGTGGCCCCTCTTCGCCCACTCGCGGGTCTTTGTGGCCTTTTCCCGTCTCTCGTCGGCATCTGGCCTCTTTTTCGGCCTTCCTCGCCTCAAAGGCTTGCGAACCGCACCTGCGAATGCGCCGCTGCACATTCCCCGCTGTTTATGCCGGGTCAAAGCGTCGTGTCGCGCAAAGCTATTGCCACACTCACAAGGATAGGGTTTGACCCCGGTGTGAATTTTGGAATGGCGCTTGAGATCATGACCACGAACAAAGCATTTATTGCAATGATTGCATTTGAATTGGCGATCTCCAAGATGAGTTTGGACGTGGGATTTGATGTTTTCTTTTCTCCCAAAGCGCTTGTTGCAGCCTTCGTACGTGCATATCCACTTGTTGTCGATCGGATCGGGTCCTTCGATATGTGCCGCGATATCTTCTAGAGTGATGCCGGTTTCTTCAATCGAGGCATCTATACTGGCATCAAGGTTGAGATCCGCAATAGACAGAGCACGAGGCGATAACAGTGCCTTTGCGGGCGAGGAAGAGCGACTTGTTGTCCGTTGTGAAGCAGAATTTAGTGGAGCTGCAGGCGCTATCGGAACTTTAGCTGCCTTATTGGCCGTAGCGGGGTTGCTTCTATCACCGATTATGCTGGATAATGACAAGAATGACGGCATACTGGGTGAAATGGGAGAAGATACCGATGCAGTTTCAAAATTATCCGGCGAATTAAAGGTAAACTCTGAGAAAACATCGTCGCTTAACTTTGGGCTTTGCAGATCGAAAGTATCTGGTGGCTGAAGGGAATTCGTGTTGGAAAGCGGTGCAAGGGTTTCCCGCGATAAGAAGCTACTCGATATCCCCTGTAGAGATAGAGATTTTACTCGTTCCATCGCGACCAAATTACGAGGCGCGACTGCATGTTGTTTTACCGGCGAGGACTGGGCAGTCTTGCATGCGCGTGGAACACGTGCCGGCTTCCAGTATGGAGACGATGACGGTGTCAAAGGAGGCGAGTCTTCTTCGGGTCAGTAAGGCATCTTCACCAAAATGGATGGGCTTGGAACCTCACCTGAGCCGGTTTGTTGGCTTGGGGTGTTGGGACGATGTGTTGCTCCCCCAGCGAGCTCCACGGTAAAGTCCTGCCATTGGAGTGGCTCAAAACGATCATATCTGGGACTGAGAACCTTTTGTCGACTCCTCGCTAGTCCCTGATCGAGGCTCAATCCTCTACGGTGTCGGACTGCCGGTGGCATTGATTTAGTGGCGGCATCGGGTTGAACCGACCCAGGGAACAAACAACGGTGCTGAAGGGTACTCTCGGGGCGGTCAAAGTTCACATTCAAGGCTGCCAGCATGTCGGCAGTTCACTTTTGACGGACGGTGGTTCGGATGAATGCAAATCGGTGATAGGTCGTGATGAAGGCCGGCACCGAGTATTCTAAGGCACAGCAGTGCAAGGTGATTCCATTCAAATCTTCATTAGGGTAGATAGGTCAATGTTGAAAACAAAAAAATATAGTGTTGAAACGAGATATCGTAAACAATTAATATGTAGTCGAATATAGGACGAAAATCCTCAACCGAACTATGCGTAAATGAGCGCACTGCAGGATACCGCGACTAGGATAGAAAACTTGAAAGGATAAGAGTAAGATTCAAGGAGGATCACAGGAGTTCTGGTAGAGCAACAGACAAGCGCGTGTCTTGCTGCTCTTGCGATGCCGTCCGGTGAGTCGTGCAGCGCGATGGAGAGCTCGACGTCGAGGTGGATGCGCGCGCCGGACATGGGACGTCCCAGGCGGCCACGAACCGGAAGCCGAGTAAATAAAGCACTGTCGGCCCGGCAACCGCCAAATGCGGACAGGCGCACTTCAGCCTTATCTCCGCTGACTCAGCAGCGACACTAGGAACCACGTGATCCACAAGCCCACATCGCGAACTTTTTTCGAAACGCACAAATATCGATCTCCTTCAACAGAGATTGGCACCCAAGAAGGTTGAGGAAGACAACTTGTCGAGGTGAGTTTGTTCCCATTCATTCCACCCATCCAGCTGATGAAACCGCACATCATGCTTTCACAATAATCGATTTTCTACGGCTACCGTTGATTTCTCCTTTCCATCGGCTGCCCATCAACACACCCCCGTGCAGCGCAAACGGAGAACATGCCAAACTAACCAAGTTCGTCGTCTCCCAGGCCTTCGTCAAAATGCAGATCTTCGTCAAGACCCTCACGGGTAAGACTATCACCCTCGAGGTGGAGTCTTCGGACACCATCGACAACGTCAAGACCAAGATTCAAGGTACCGTCCCATCAACCCGCCCACACTCCCTCACACACAAAAACACACTAAACTGATCCCCAAATCCAGACAAGGAGGGTATCCCCCCGGATCAGCAGCGCCTCATCTTCGCCGGCAAACAGCTCGAGGACGGCCGCACCCTCTCCGACTACAACATCCAGAAGGAGTCCACCCTCCACCTCGTCCTCCGTCTCCGCGGTGGTGCTAAGAAGAGAAAGAAGAAGGTCTACACCACTCCCAAGAAGATCAAGCACAAGCGCAAGAAGACCAAGTTGTCTGTGCTCAAATACTACAAGGTCGATGCCGATGGCAAGATCGAGCGCTTGAGACGCGAGTGTCCCTCTGCTGAGGTGAGTAAAATAGATATCTTCGCAAACCAACATTACTTTTATCCGGCTTTGAACTGTGGGCTAACGAAAGTGATTCCTATTTTCTGATGATAGTGCGGTGCCGGTGTTTTCATGGCTGCCATGCACAACCGCCAGTACTGCGGCAAGTGCCATCTTACCTATGTCTTCGATGAGTCCAAATAAATGTAGCTAGCTGGAATAGTATCCGGTGCCTGCTGCACTGATATATTGTGAGAGCTGAAAAGCTTTTTGTATCTATGTAGCTTAGAAGCCTCAAATATCATCGAGTACCTTGGTCCCTTTTTTGTTGTTTGGTTCCCAGTAGGGCAAGCAGTTAACTGTGTAAAACTCTGATCCAGAGCGCAAATGCATCCACAGATCTACCACACAATATTCATATACAGGCGAAGTCAAAAAAAAAGCCAAATCAAGAGATGAGCAATCATTTCACATCAATCATAAGTAGTTCCAGCCCTTCTAGAGCGGAATCTCACTGCGTCCGGCACAATAGCGCGGGGTATCAACGAAGAATGTAAATCCAGCATGTGGAGAATGCACAGCATGAAGTGAAAAGGGCAGAAAAAAGATGAGAGAAAAAAAGAAAGAAGAAAAGAAGAAAAGAAAGGGGTAAGAATCGAAAGGCCCTGTGTGGCAAGCCCAGCGCCACATCCCACTGTCTAATTTCGCGACGTTTAACCCTTGATATTGTCGTATTGGCTCTCCGAATATTGTAGTGCATTCTGCGTCTTGTCCAGCCCCATTTTTCCTGCTTTAACCACATCTTCGGCAAATGTGGCAATCAAGCTTCCACCAGCCTTGGTTGCGTCCTTGCCCCCGCGGTCACCACTGGCCTCCCACCACATGGCTCCGCCTAGGCCCTTGTCAACGATGTATTTCGTCTTTGCTTCAACCATTGGCACGGTGTCGTAGGAGATCATAAGCTTCTTGCTGGGATCATAGCTCCACGATGCACCGGCTCCGCCGTTTACCATCGGATCCATGAATTCTTTGGCACCAGGCTGTGGGAGAGTTTTGTAGTCCCAGATTCCCGGTTCCCAGCTTCCAGCACCTCCGTTTCCTTGGTAGGGCTTGCCAGGACCTTCCGTGTTAGCAAAGGCTCGGCCATAGAGAGGCATTCCGAGGACAAGTTTCGAGGCGGGGATGCCGCCCGTGTTGATGTAGTAATCGAGTGCGGCTTCAGTGGAAAAGGATGTTGACTGCGGGTTTGACATTGACGGTCTAAGGTTTGCCTGGTGGCCCGCCATGGTAGACCAAGAGCCAGCGTAATCGTACGCCATGATATTGATAAAATCAAGGTCCTGGCCCATCTCCTTCAAGTGCAGCTTCTCATAATGCTCCGCTCCTTTAATAAATAACAGTTAGCTTCTGTACTGTTGAACATCAAATTTGGTACGCACCAGCTGAAGCAGCAATGGTAAGAAGGAATTTGCGCCCTCCTGCTACGGAGTTCAATTTCTATTCGCAGAAGTTAGTCTAACGTCTCAAGACCCGAAAACGCCGGGAGCCTGTACCTGTCGAACAGCTTTAAGAAGAGCCGCAAAATCTTGAGCCTCCTTGTCATCTACACCTCACAGTATTAGCATAGGCCTTGTAGCAAATCATTCACACTCAAGAAGTAGGGAGCTTACCTTTAGGGTACTCCCAGTCGACATCCAGACCATCCATGCCCATGTCCAACATCAGTTTCACTGCCGACTCAGCGAACATGCTGCGTCCCGCTTCCGTGCTAGCAGCGGGTGCGAAGTTTTCGGAATAAGTCCATCCTCCGATTGATAGGAGAACCTTCAAATTTCGGTTACGCTTCTTAAGCAAATACAGCTGGTTCGCGCATCCATAGACGTTGTTCCCTGGTTGAGTTGCAGAATCCGTGGGAAATCGCTTTTTGATATCAGCTTGTTCATCGGACAGATAAACCTCTCCTGTGGTCGGTCGAATGTTTGCAAAAGCATAGAGGACATGTGTAATCTTGTCGACTGGCATGTCCTGCGGGTTATATTGCCGATCATATATAGCCTAAACATGATCCGTTAGTTTTTTTTGATATTGGCGTCATTACCCATGACGGGGTAGAAACGTTGCGTACCCAGTTGACGTAGTAGACAACTGATTTGTAACCAGAAGAGTTTTCCCCATTTCCCGGTGCCGATACACTTCTAGCTTCTGGAGCCGGCGGCAGGAAAAAGGGGCTTCTTCGATATCGGATACTATCCGTCGCCACACTTGACGCTACACGAAGTTTCCGTTGTTAGCCAACCGTCCTTGGCAATGAAAAGGCTTGTGATATCATAGATCTGCTTCTGCTCGCAACAGTAGCATTTTTGAGGAACACAAAAAAGGTGGCAAGACAGGTTAAAGAAAAGGCTCAAGGAAGAAAAAATATAGAAGCTCAGCCCCTGCCAATCCGGGATAATACTCCCACCGAAAGCAAGAGTGTATAGTGGGAGGGTATGTGCTTTGTATCAAAGGAAATAGATCCTGAAAATTATCTGTGCATTGCAAATTATAGAGTAAGAATAGCTTTCTCACTCACCGACTGTGAAAGACGAAAATCCCAAGAAAACCCATGAAATCAGGAAAAAGGAAAAGATCCCCCTGGACCAGCCTGAGGGTCGGAAGGAAGAGTTGCTGTTTGCCCTGCGGACAGCATCCCCGTACGAGCTCGATTGTCGGCCATCCATGGCGCAAAGCCTTTCGGATTTCTGCTTGGCTGCACCCGGTAGATTCTGTCAAAGAATCGGTGGTTTGTTTAAGGAGTGACACACGGACACGCTGCGATCTATAGAAGGGTGAAGACCCAGCTGGACAGAGCCCAGAAAGCAAGAAAAGGAGTGTAGTAAAGAGAACGCACAAAAACAGAGGGATAGAACCCAGCTGTGAAAGGAAAGACAGAGAGAAAAAAAAAAAAAAAAAAAAAGATCTGTGATCTGTTCTCCCTCATTTTCAAAGAGAGAAATGGCTTCATTTAAACACAAATCGCGCGAAATGAACAGTCCGGTGGATACGAGATGAGCGGCGCCGTCCCCTTGTCAGTGAGGACGCAGCCCTCTCATAATCACGAACAGGGTGCGAGCCACATGCCAGGGCGAACCGGGGTATACGCAGAGCCTGAAGACTTTTCGCCTTCGAAAAGTCTTCGAAATATACGGAGAGAGGGGAGATCTGACCAACCCGACGGCGCTTGGGGCCGAAACGAGTAAAATCCCCTGTTGCTCTCCGGCCAAGCCTGCAATCAGGGCTGTTTCAAACATGTTTTGGTTGTGAACATCCCACATGGCCAAGTACATGAGGTGGCATCACAATCATCCCGGCAAGGAGTTGCGACGAATGGAATTCTGCAGTCTGGCGCCGCTAACAGGAACATCCCAGTCATCGTCTCTCGTCGCTCGTCCACCACGGTGACGGGGCAAGCATATCGCTCACACATCGTCAAATCACGAAGCGGGGACTGCAAACTGTCAGCTTCGGGCTGACCGATCACGCTCTCAGCGAGGCACAACGTGGGAGAACGGACGTCACTGGGAGGAACGTCGAAGAAGTCAGGGAATCGATGGGGCTCAGCCCAACACAAGGCGCTAGGCCCGGTCGGTGCAGAAAGCCCCCAGCGTGGCTGACGAATCCAACCAGCCAAGGTCGCACTTGCCTCCGCTGCCCACACCAACAACACACAGCCCGCCGCTTCCTGCAAAAGCCGTGCACCTGCATTTTTCGGGGGGGTTTGTGGAAGGTGCAACAAAACAATATCAGAAGAAAGAAACAACCTCTGCAGCCTCCCCCCGGTTGGCATCCCCCACGGCGGGAAATCTTCCCTGCCACCCGTCGAACCCGCCTGAGGGGGCCGGCCGCTTTTTCCTGTCGGCCCGAGTCGCGCCCGGCATGTCCATGCTCCCTCACCGACTCACATTGTGCCACTATCATTCTTCAATCTGGATACATTAGCAACGTACTGTACACATGTTCTACACAACATCCGCTCTCTACATATTTACGCTGCTGTTACATATCTGTGGTGAAGGGGTGACATGCAGTTAGATGAAAACCCGCACGCCCATAGTTAATCATAAAAATGGGCCTCAACCCAACGAACATGTTAGCTAACATGACTCCGGTAGTAGCAATGAACTGCTAGGATGTCACTCTAAGGTACGCACATGGATAATGGCTAACAAACACTACGCAGAAGCCAAAGGACTTTGCTCAAAAATCTAAACTCCGCAGTGCAATATCGCCCATAGTATCACTATTGGGAAGGAGAAACGGAGAAGCCCACCAATTCCCACATCCGCTCCTGATCTCATGACTCCGCTGCCCTTTGCACTTTATGTTGTACGATGCACACAGTCCCTCTTCACACATACACACCAAAGTGAATGATATTACGACGTCAGTGTCAGACTTATACAGCAGCATAATCATCCAAGCAGCCCGCCCGCGAAACGCAGAATCCCGGCCTTCTCTGTTAGTGATAATATATTCTCCAGCAGCATGGGGACAAGGAGAAACTAGTCCGCTCTTGTGACTGACTGGGTAATAAGTGCGAGCGATCAGAACTATATGTCAGCGGGCTGTCTGTCAATTCCAGCAATTCGCGGCTCACACTGCATGCTCACATATCCAAAGAATCACTGCGCACGATAAGAGTCACTATTCCAGAGAAAATTCTCGAGTGGTATTGCTGGTACGTAAGTATATGACATTAATAACCCATACATGCAACCAAGACGTTCATGGATATCCCATGTATAATCTATATACAAGCCATCTCTCCCATAGTCGCATGATCCGTTTCGCGTGAGAGGGTATCGGAAGGTGAATGGGAGATTATAATTAAACAAAAATGAAGCCACCTAGTTGCTCTCCACCGTGTCGTCCTTATCCAAAGCATTCATATCCTCTTCCTTGGCGTTCAGGTGACGGAAGACGATCCAGAAAAGGATACCAGCTGTGAAGGACGAGCAGGCCAACCCAGTAAACAGCCAGATGATCTCCGGATCGTGAGCGACCGGCGTCAAGGCCTCGCCAAGAGCAGCGCCAAACGCGTTCGTCAAAAGGTACATAGACTGAACGAAACTCTTCATCGTTGGCGGCGCCTTGGTGTATGCGTACTCCAACCCAGAGACGGAAGCAAAAATTTCAGAAATACCAATCAACATATATGCAGGTGCTTGGATAGCAATGTGGATCCTGTTTCCTTGCTTCACACCATCTACCTCTGCCTCGGGGCAGGCCAGTGGCATGTTATAGCATGGCGGCGAAGTGTAAATGAGGTTCTGAACGATAGCAGCGTAGACCATGGCCAATGATGCAATGATAAATCCGAAAGAAATACGAGTGATTGGCCGGAAAGGGATATGCAGTTTGTTGAGCAAGGGATAAATAATCCTATCGAGGATCGGAATGAAAACGATGATGGCAATCGGGTCGAAGTTTGGCATCAGATCGTTAGGAATGCCATGATGTTCCATTTGACCGGCTACAGTGCTTTGATCAGCACGGGATCAATGCAGAAAATCATCAACTGGGCACGCTCGAACGACTTACCTTGGGAAACAAAGTTGGTAGAGAATTGACTGTAAACGACCCAGTAGATCGGATAGAAGGTGAAGACTTTGCAAGCAACCAAAGCACGCTTCAGCTCATCGATGAAGTGATCATCCCATGGGTATGTACGGTTGGCACCGTGCTCGGCTTGCCATGATGGCTTGGGCGCATCCATGTTGCGGTTCATAACCATGACGCCAAGGGCCTTGAACGCATTGGTGATAATTGATCCAGTTGGAGGACGAACAACGTAGAACTTGCGTCCGAGGACAAGGATACAAGTACCAACCACGAAAATACAGAGACAGAGCAAGTAAGCAGACCAGAAACCAATGTCTCGCTCCATGTAAGGTGTCGCAAGGAGGGATAGGGAGCCGATGTTGATACAGGCGTAGAAGATCATGTAGATGCGCTGAATAGTCAAGCCTGGGTCGATGATGACACGCTCGCCCTCGGGTGTTGTCTTGATTGCCATAGTTTTCCGCTTGTACTGATCAGCAATCAGTGGCGCGACGTTGGACTTGATACCTCCAGTTCCTAGACCTATGACGATAAGGGAAACAACGAATCCGCCCAAGCCCGCACCATTTTGGAGGGACACTGGCAGCGAGGTAAGGACCAGGATTAAGAGACCGATAACATAGATAATACAGAAGTAAAAGATGGCCATGTATTTTCCGATGTATTGGTCAGCAATAATAGCACCAATGATGGGTGTCACTATGCCCGATATTAGACAGACGCCTGACGTACACACACAACAATACGGTAAAATTTAGACTCACGGTAAGCCCAAAACTGGAAGAAAGTGTTCAAGCCGGTAGCCGCTCGATGGCCCAGACCTGCATGGCGGTTAATGTGTGTCGGTGACAGATGAGGCTTTTTTTTCTTCTTTTAATAGATGGGTAACCCTTACCAAGAGCTCCACGTCCCAAACTCCCATCCAGGGGTCTTTGGATATAGTTCTGGAACAAACCTTGCATACCATAGTAGGTAAAACGTTCGCAGAGTTCGACAATAGCGACAAGCCAAGCGGAGATGGGTAGACTTTCGGGGACATGCTTCAAGGTCCGCTTCTCTTCCTCTGTTGGCTCTTCACCGTCCGGGGTTTCATGTAGTTGGCCCTCCTTGGTCACATATCCTGCTTCAATGGACCGCGAATCAGGAGAGGTCTCCTTTTCCATTCCATCAGCAGCCATAACTTTGGCATCAGGGTCACCCAATTGCTGGTGCGGTCTTTGCTAGGGTGGTTAGAACCAAGCCGAACCGGTTCAACCATATATGAGAAGGGGGGAGGGAACGCACCGAGTTGCTTGAGACTCGTGGTCGGCCATATTTAGGGATCACCTTTTTTTCCTACACTGGGGGCTTGGAGCCGACGAATACAAGCGAGCGGCAACGAAGCGGAAAGAGGAAGAAGAAACAAAGCTCAAGGAGCGAAGGCCAAAAGGTTTCCCAAGTATCAAAAGGGGAAAAAAAAAGAGAAAGGAATCGTAACAGCCTCGCGGGGAAATTGATCACCTTTTATCCAAATCCCCACATCAAAAAATTTTAGAGCTGCGAAAGAGAGAAGAAGGTAACAGATCCTCCGGGGCGATCGTGCTTATTCGCACCCATCCAGCCATAGTGCCTCCCCGTGGAGTTGACTAATACCATTGGCTGACGGACGAGGGACGGGGAATCACGCGAAACCACATGGGAATAGCGGATCGGCAAAGTGTCATGGCTTCATACGTACCGGTTCCTGCCAACACAAGTCTAGTACATCCATACGGAGGACAGGAGCCTGACTTTCCGCTGGGTCATCCGGAGATATCAGCCCAAGCATACAGGGATAAAGTGCCCCAAGCACTCCATCATGGATAGATTACAGAGTCCATCCCTCTCAAAAACGATGACTAGTTGACAGCATATATCCCGGGGGCGAAAGGTGCCCACTTGTTTTTCCGTATTCTAATGGCTTTTTTTTTTTCCCGTACGGTCTCAAGTTCAGTATCCGGAACACCCAGCCGTGTTCTAGATACGTACTCGATACTTGAAATTACACCAGAGGCTCGAAATTGGTGAGCTTCTTCAGAAGGGGAAGCGCAGATAAGCGCAAGTGGCTGGACCCAAGGGACCCCCCCGTGGAAATATGCGGAGGCAGGTAAGATTTGAAAATCCACCTGACAGGCAAATTATGACCGTTTGGTAGGCTCCTTGATCTAGGCATTCCGAGGTTCAGTCCCGTTTCACACAATTTCAAAAGTCGATGGGATGGAAAGTGATGAGAATCGCGACGGACCCATTCCAGTGGCAAAGTGCAAGAGATTTCTTAAATAGCGGTAGAAAATCTTTGCATTCGGGGACCGTTCTCTTGGTTGCGGGGGCACTGAAGCGAGAGGCCATGGGTCAGAGCGCAATGCCCGGTTCCGAGAAAAAAATTTCATTTTCTTCCCACCCTCCCCGTCACTCAAACCGAGAGAGAGGATGCTTGAGGATGACTGTTACTTACGCGTAAGGATGTTTGTATGGGACGCGTCATGAAACTGAAATAATGAAGGCAGCATTTCGCCCGGGAGACCAGACAAAGTCGCCTGTCAACATCAAAAAGTACCTGTACATTGCTATCCTCCGCTGAGCCTGTGATTCGTCCAATGCGTGCAGGGTTCCGGCTCACTGAAGCAACGATCGTCGGATTTGAGTCAGTCCATGGAATGCAACCTCAACCCCACTGTCCTCCACCCGCAGTTTGACGGCGAACAGACTTTGGAACCAGTGGAATAAGGTTGGGAAAAAAACATTCCAGAAAACGAACGAAGCCGGCACGGAGATTCCACAGACCAACCCGGTCCGAACCTGACGAATATCCAGGCCGTGATTGAAATTCGTCCAAGGATCCCAAAGATTTGCGCGATACGTGAAGCCAAACAGTAGAGCTATTCCCGGGTGTGACGTTGGCTTTGAGGCAACTGTTGTGGCGTTGGTGGGAGGGGGAAAGAGAGAGAGAGAGAGAGAGAGAAAGAAAGAGAGTGCGTGAATCAGTGTGTGCAAAATTCTGCCATGCTGGCGAGCATCCACAGCTGCAACCAGGGGACGTTGCATTAGAGTTGTCCGTGCCGGGATCATCGGCAACCCTGAAGACTCGCCGACCATTCCTTTATTTAGACTAGCGTCGGCTCACCAAGAGCCCCACGAATGCTTCGCTGCGCCCAAGCACCTCTTGGAAATGCTTGAGAAAACCTCTCAGATAAGAATACGGTCCCTATCAACTAGCTCTAGTTCAAACGTCTGTTGCCAGCATGCGGATTCTACATGGGCGCGCTGGACAACATCCCTATCAAAAGAGAAACGGTTTCGGGCCTGGGGAAACTGATCCTGACCGGTGTGCGGAGGAAACAGGGGTGCATGCCTGTGACTTTCTCCAGATCAACTCGCTACCCCAGTTGGAGATTGGGATGTCTTACATAACACATCAAAAATCTTTCGGCCGTCAGTCTCCAGAGCTTGGATGGGATGGCGTGAATCCCAGACCATCGCATTGCCTCGGAGGGTCGTTCTGAGGGAAAACGCTGTGGAAGTCTTGGCGTAATCTCTCGGAGGCAAGGGAATTATGCGCCGTCTTCCAGTTCTCCCGCCCAACATTACGTGATTGGTCGTATTCAGATCCGAGCTGTTCGAAAATTATACCAACTTTCCGACAAAGCTGCAAGAGCTTCGCTTCTCGCACCTGGCAGCCACCTCCAAGGTATGTAGCCGCCTCCTCCCTCGCCGCCCTCGTGGCCATAGCTATGATAATTAGTTGAAAAGTAGTCCCAAGATACACAATCTCTCAGTAGTGTACATGGGAACATTAGCTCCGGAACTTAAAGGTACCAAGAGAGGCAAAAGCACTCGCTTTCCTCTGCCAATCATATTTCATTGACTGATTCTCAAGTGTTAACCTACTATACCTTCGTACAGCCCATTGACTTTGTAAGGCAAACTCGCGATGATTCCTCACATATGGCTTGAGATGGGCACAATGATGGATGGATGTGTGTACGGAGTACATGCATGTTACTTATGTTTAACACACCCCAAAACGTATGGCTGTGTGTTGGAGAAGGGGGAGGGGGTTGTGAAAATACCACAGGGTCAGCCTGACATGTAGTGAGAATAGCCAGCAGGTATAGTATTCGTTTTGATCCTTGATTCAAGGAGGAGACATCTATGCTGTGCAGAGAAACACTGTATAATCGTTTATGTAGGAAATGAGGGAATAGATGCGAGTATCCTTCGGTAGGAGGAAACAAGATTATTCAACCCCTCAGACCAGAGTCATTCGAAGCCAAGAGCGGAGGGATGCAACCTTGAACTAGAAGCCTGTTTATTAAATCTATAACAAATCAACAGCAAAAATTCTTCTCTTTCGATCTTGGGGTCACATGTTGTGTTGCGAGAAAAATTAAACACAGCATAGGCCAAATGAAGCTCTCCGAGCCCGAAGATCGAGTATTTTGTCGTAACACTTTGTCTGGCAACCATGCAATCGTTGACGCCCGAAGCATAGTACGCCAGTTCCAAACCCTGGACACTTCTGGGAGAAAACTTGGAAAGGTACTTAAAAGACCGACCTTACAGGGAGCCCGACAGGGAGGATGGTCTCGAGATATCATTCCCACAACTAAGCCACGTTAGGGAGCACGGTGACGTCTTAAATGTACGCAGCACAACTCAAAAAGACCTGAACCCTCGGCCTCCTACTTAGACATTACAAGAATAATTATGACTGAAAGTGTCTTAGCAGAAGCATAGCGGTATCATCGGAGGCGAACCCAGGATACGACTTGGCCAAGTTTTTTTTTTGGGGGGGGATATTGTTGGTGCGTTCTGCGGAGACCCTTGTTCGCTGACCACCTTGGATGTTTATCGGAACCAAGCATGTCGTTACAACGGCCAAAAGAAATCCCTGTTTTGCAAATCCTGACGAACATGCTGATTCTGGCCCGAAAGAATTCCGCAATGTTCTGATACCCTGTAGAGAGCGACAGCGTGATATAAAGGGAGTACGTTCTGCTCCTTCAACACTTGTTGCTTGCTGGGCGAGCCCTGACGGCTGGTTGGCGGGCGACCGAATCTGGACTACCCCAGATCCTCTCTCCACAAAATATACGCCTATTTAACTAACAACCCATGAGCTTCTGTAGTTGAAGATCATCCTATCAATGAAGTCGACTCTCTTGTCAGGTTGTGAGAGCTCTCCATGCCCGCGTCTGCTAAGTTACAAAATGTTGTCACATTTGCGAAGAGTGACAGCTACCGCGATCAACGATAGCTGAAAAGAGCGGTTCGCTACGCTCCTCCGTATAAGACAAATATTCAATCGTAGTAGCATCGGCCTAGCCGGCCCCAGTTCGGCCTCAAGTTTCGTTTCTAGGAAACATCCGGAGAAGTGGAGGCTGAGAATTCAATTCGACACGCGATCAGCCATTGCTGAACAGTTTGGAACCCCAGAGATACGGCCTACAACATAAATCTGATTTCTATGTAATACGCGGTAATATCCGCCATGTACCTGATATCTTGCCTTCATGCACTCAAAAGTATAGGTACGTCGCCTGGCGGAATCACACGTGGGCGAATCCTTATCCAGAAGGTGGACGCAATCCAAATCTTGGGATGTCGCCGTTTAAAACCTCCATGGATTAGCCGGGAACTATTTTGGGGAACCCATCACAATGGTGTCACCAAGCGTTAAGGGCTATCATGCTAATCAGTAACTTCTATGTAACCTCTTTTCGATAGTCGTCGCATTTGCCGAGTGTGCCAACATGTTTCGTGAGTACTTCGAACGCACGTCCGTCGACGCAGAAATAGGAAATAAACATAGGTAGAAATAGCTAGGAGAAACTTGAATGATTTGGATATTTGCGGGGTCCTTCGGATTATCTGCAACTAGCCATTTTCGCGACGGCTGACGTCGGCCAACACCTATCATTCAACTATTAGACGAATATGACAAACCTCTCGAAATACGGTCTGTCTCAAGTCGCAAAATGGTTATGCTTATAAACCTAAGCGTGTAATTCGGCCAACGACCGCTGGAATACGCGCGCCCTTCCAAAGCTGTGGAAATCCTGCATTAGTACGGGATAGGAACTTTCCTATACCAAGCATTCTGCACACGCCAAAGTTTGCGCGGTCCAGTTTAGTGGGCTTTGCACAATTATTCTCCGTCTGAATGCTGGTGGAGTATGTTTCGACCTCCATAAAGCCCCCTGCGGATGAGTGTTGCACTTTACCTAATTGTGTGTCTTGCCTCGTGACTGTGCGAGTTTAACCGCCCCTAACAATCCTAGCAAGTGAAAACTGAATCATTTTTGGTACTGGGCTAAAGGATGATTGCCGTTCAATCTGCGAGCAACAAATCCTATGTTACGATTTGTCAGCTCTTCGCATCAGAACGTCCTCCGAACAGATCCTGCTCACAACTGCTCAGAGAGACTGACTCACTCAAGCTAGTTTGGAGCAGAGGGGCCAGTGATGAATGTCAAGAACCGCATGGAGCATTTGCTACCCATGATTATGTAGCGGATGACTGGGGAACGAACAAATCCCCTTCGCTAACGATATTTTCTTGGGCCGCGTGGGGGTTGGTCTCTTCTCTATTCCTTTTAGCGATCTGCTGTTAACACTCATGTAGGCCGCCCTTCTGACCAGAGTCAAATTTCTATATCGATGCATCACAACCCGACTATCGACGTGGCCTTCCCCGTCCTTTACGCGGCGTACAGCGCTTCAAAGGGCTATGAAAAGGAAAATATCCTATCTCGAAAAACATGCATCGCTATTGCAATAAATATCTGCGTATGGATTGTTAACTGAGTGGAACCACGTCCGCTAAAGCCCTAGTATCTATAGGTAAGGAGATTGACTAGCCCAGTTCCTAGAGAACAAAATAAAGGGCCAGATCTCAACCGGATTGTTTCTCTGGGCTTCTTCGCTAAGACCGTTGACAGAGAGTCCTCGTTCTGCGCATCCGAAAAGGAAAGGCTCTGAAGTCCACTCTGATCATTTGCCCTGTGAAAATTGTATCTAGGTGTCCCTGAAATACAATCACTCGAACTCAAAAGCCACTGGGGCGGCAAAGAGGCTTTGATCCCCTAGATCGACGCTGCTTGCGTAGTTGAATCTCGGTAGAAATTCGTTGACGACTGCAGATATGTCCTGCCACATACGCTAGCTGAGGTACGGTTGGACGGGCGTGCATGGTTGTCAATTTGCCATAGGACTTCTCATAGGAAGCAGGCCACGGAGAAGCCGATAAATGACTATCGATGATCTGCAAAGCAGAAGGGATGATAGTATACGTGTGCAGTTGAAAACCTTGATCTGCGAACGGGTATAATGCTTGCGATTACTCAATGGGAAATGGCGCCCCCCGGGGTAGTATCAATAGTTGCATGCATACAGAGTTAAAACAAAAAAAAAAGGAAAAAAATAAAATAAAATTGGAGGCGGCAAATGAAATCTCAAGCATCGAGTAGGATACTTTTGACAGAAAAAATTTTTCTTTTTCTTTTCAACCGTCTCGTCGGCTAAGTTTGCGTGGTTGTTGACGATTTTCCATTGCACAGCCACAGATTTTCCGTATGCCAAGCCTTATCGACCTGCAGGCCAAACCAAATTCAGGTAAGCATCTAAACTCAATTCGCACCTTATGATGTGACGTCTGCAGTGCACGGACCATGTGGTGGCTTGCGCCCGCCCTATTGATCCCAACAGCTCCGCTCTGCTCGCCAAATTTCCTCGGCCGCGACGAAAGCAGAGAGAAAAACCGAAAATCGAGCGGGAAACGCCCTAGGACAGGGGAGATTTGAGTTTTCTCTCGGAGGTAACCTTTTTCCTTTTCTAGTCCGTGGCAAATATCGTTCCAATAGCGGTTTTCTGAAAGCCGTCAATTGCATGTTGATGTGCATGCAGCTACATACTCGGCATATAAGACCCGTACTGGCGGAGAAGTCCCTAAACAGACTAAACCTTATTTCTTTCGTCTTTTGTTTCCAACCCAATGGCACTCCAGCATTGACTGCAACCATGCTTTCGGTAACCTTGATCGCCGAGCGTGGAAGAAACTATGGGCCAGGAGGCAAATTGTCACGCATTAAGCGCCAGTTCGACATGATATCGAGCCATTCACAATTCTCGGGGTTTCTGAATGATCATGACGCTCAGGAACTGTTCCTCCCCAGCCATTTTATTGTGCCACAGTGGCGAGTGCCTATGACAAAGCTCTCGATCAAAATGCTCCACATTTCGCGGGAATGCCTTCCAAGCATGTTCAAGATGTACCATTTGTCAAATGGATGCTCTAGCTATCCGGATCCAAGACAATAGATGAGACTAGTTCTCCTGAACTGATGATATCGTACACAAACTGTCCCGCAGCCAACAATACCTGCCCAAACAAGATTCGATAAAGCTCATAGATAATCAACAGCAAGGACTACGTGGGGTATCGAATGCCCTAGTAATGCGTATATTCCAAAAGGGAAAACAAAAAAAGAAGAAAAGAAAAGAAAAAAGCGCAGAACAATTGTGCAAAGGAACAAAGATTATGTCTGTATAAAACGTGCAGAACTTTTCAAGACTGGTCCCATATTGAAGGGCAAGGACACGTCCAGCGCTCCTGATAAAAGGGGGAAAAATCCAGTTTTCCTCATCCGCCGTTAGACTATAGGTTAACAAGGCGTAAAGCGCTCTCGTTAAGCGTGTGGGTGGACGCTCCTAGAGGATTTTGATTGTAGAGTCGTCAAATTTCGGGTTTCGACGATCATGTTCCGTTCCCGCCCCCACAAGTAACCCGTACCAATTACGAGTGAGTACGAAACCAATGAAGGATAATGCTTAGGTCAGGGTCTTCGCTGAGCCAGTGACCAGCACGGACATCAGCGGACATGAGATCATTCCGGATATAAGGGTCTGTAAACGACGAAAGCTCCTATAGAGGACGGTTAGCCTGGAGTGGAAAATATTCTAAGAACGGCATCTTACGTTGCGCAATGTCTGATCGATGGCTCTCAAAGCGTTCAGATGCGAATGGTTTGGTTTCTGGCCCTGAAGGATTTTCATTCGGCTCATAGCCCATCTCCTGGCAGCAGCCATTCGCAGGTAAATCTTGTGAGCTTGAAAGCGTCGCGCGGATGCATCAAGTATTATCCTATTCGAGTTAGTTGACAGAACTGCCAACGTACGACTTTCGCCGGGAGAGCGCTGTAGGCAATGCACACCTTTGAAGCTGCACTTTTTGCCATTCCCCGTCTCCATTTGGGTTCTGTATGGCCTCGACATTAAATTGGGCGGAGATCAATCCCTGGACCTCGTGGAAGCATTGTCTCATTATTGCATAACCCTCTTCATGCTCCTCGCCTTGTGGAGCATCTGTTTTCAGCTGGGATATATGAAGTAAGAGCGTTCTGAAGTCGTTCATCAGTTCCGTAATTCTAAGCGCCCTTGCTTCGTTCACTATTGGTAGGGTTAAAAAATAAGGACACAAAAATATAGGCAAAATGGAACCACTCACATCCGTCAGCCATTGTGGTGAAGTTATCACCATAAAATGTAGCAGTACTCAACATAAGACAGTTAAGCAAGAGAATGTATATGACTGATGTCTTCAGGGCTCACTCTTTCAACCACTCTGAAACTGGAAAGAGAAACTCAACTGAACAGGACGAAGCTTCTGCCATCTTTAAATATGGTCATGGGAATGGAGGTATGGATATAACTCCGTATTCTGCAGATTCCCTGGCGGGAACGTAACGCAGCCATGGGAACCAATGGGGCGTTCATACCGAAGGGGAACGTAAGAAGATCCATTGTTGCACTGTAAGGGAGCATGCAAATCGGCGGCAAGATCGCAAATAGCCATCATCATAGATCATAGTTTAGACTGGGAGACCCAATTGTGGGGATCGCTAGTCCAAGCAGACCTCATCGTCTCGATGCGCGCTCCGAAAGTGAAAGATTATCAGCACCAGCCACATGACATCCGCCACTCGCTAGTACCTATGGCTGGTGGGCGGCCTAGCCGCAATTGGGTTAGATGGGGCTTGGGGAGCTGATGCACTTGCCTCGCGTGGCTAAAACGGAATACCGTCCAATCTTTCCGAAGCTTGGCCAAAACAACACATCACTTTTCGCTTGTCTGTGATGCAAGGGATAGCACAAAGGACATTCAAAAATGCAGGAGGCTTCCTCAACATAGCTGAAAGGTTCCTTGCACTTCAATTGCCCTGCGGATATCATCTTGCCTCTGATGCCTGTCACATAAGTCCCTCAAGCAAAAGCCAATGTAATGCAAGTTGCGATTAAAATAGATTATCATACGAAGCTCTGCCTCCATGATGATTGAACGGGCAGGCCATTGGACACGATCGGTAGAATGCACCTGCAAAGGTCCAATCTATTTAAAGTCTTCTACTAACACGGATAGTCAATGGTCCTGAAACAAATCACCAAGAAATCCGAGGCGCTGGAACTTCACATTGATTGGAATGGAGAAAGAGGATGGCAAAAGTCTACCCGACAAAGTTTCCTGGAGGAACTATCCCCCGTTGCTATCACATAGACAGGCTGTATCCAAACGATCGTAGGCGTTCAAGGGTGTTGAGCTGAGGTTATAATCAATCCTTCTCGCTGATTGCTTGTAGCCTCTCGTCGATCTCGTCTTCAGTCAGCGTGCGGAACTCTGACTGCGTCCCTTCTTTGCCATCGGCGCGCGGGCCTCCCACAATTCCAATTTCAATCTCGCCCTTTTTGAAGTCAACACTGAGCACGGTGCTGAGCGCTGTGATGGCAAGCTCTACAACATCTTCCCATGTCCCGTCTGCATATTCCTTGTTCTTCAACTTCTTCTCCAAGTGGTTAAGAATCTCTTGTTGTTTTGGTCCGGATGCAGTTGCGCGATATCCGACGTAGTACCCAGCTGGGTCACATTTGAATAGTTGAGGTCCATATTCCGAATCAACCGATATCAAGGTCGTCGCAACGCCCAAGGGTCTCATGTAGGCCTGCATTTGCTCTAGTCAGAATATCTCAAATACTCTCAACTAATCAGGAGATGGAATACGAACTCTTTGCGTGTAGACCTGGCTGATATTGGCTATACGCTTTGCTAGGACGTCGCACGGCATTTCATACCCAAACTTATATTTGAACTCAGCGGCCTCACCCCGGGCACGATCAACTGACGCTCTTCCATCGGCTATAGAACCGGTAACAACGCAACCAACGTTTGGTGATATTTTGAAGACATGTGATACGGAGGATGGATCTATCAGCTTGTCCTAAACTCAATGGTCCGACGGTCAGAGCGGCGGTCAAGATAGTGTGGCACCCGGGAATACGCACTGGAACTTTCTTCTGCGACAAAACTACAGCGCAGTTCTTTCCTCTTACTCCAAGGGATGTAATGTTGGCCGCTGTGATTGCTTTGAAAGCATACTCTGGGTAGAGACGTTGAGTGAGTGTCGATGTTGACAATAGAGTCGCGAGGGAGAAAATGGCAACTTACCGACTTGATACAGTCTCCCTTGGTCCGAGAAAATTGTGATATGCCTGTCGTAACCCGCGCTGCCTGTTTGATATAGCTCCCTGGTCAGCTCCAGCTGGATCAGATGGAGGAGAAAGACTGACCCGACATCGTTACAGGATATTACAGAGAACTTTTCCCAGCAAAATATTGACAGAATGATGATATCCGTGTCTTGATGTCGCAAGCACACTTCAGCTTTATTTATTAAGAGTGGAATGCTGAAGTGAAGATGATCTGTCGGAACGCGTAGGTGAAGCTGCCTGAGACCAAGCTGCCAGCGTCAGTCCCATATAGCTAAATTGGGTTTAGCTCCAAAACTCGGGACCTGGAGATGGAGGCTAGGCCGGTTCAGGCTAGCCTAAATTTGGCTCGAACGGTAAATTTTACAGAAAGGCGGTAACAGTAAATACAGAGTGTAATTCATTTATTGCCGAAAAGCCCGCCGGCGCATATCGAGGACGCAATTGAGGCCTGGAATGATGTGTGCGCTGCCCTAGAAGCCTATATTTGGATCTTTGTCTAATAGGATGTCCTTGCTTGTTGAAGGCTTTTTTTGACAAGTCATCTACGATCCGTCGATTTGCTCGCTAGCTCAACCTTGACTCTGGCTCGACGATGGCCTCACCAGCTCCCGTTCCGCACGTTCCCGCATGGAAAAGGCTGGGATTGAAGCTAAGATTTGCAAAAGAACTACCTACTCAACCTGATGCCGATGACGGAAACCTTTCTAGTACGATTGACAATAACGAAACCGGGCTGGAGAATCATATAAGGAAGAGGAAGTTGACTCCGGAACGGGATATCAGTTCAAAGAAGCAGAAACACGAAGACAAATTAAGCGAAAATGAAACCCCGAATTTAGGATTCTCTGACAAAAAAGACCAAAGGAAAAACAAGAAGTCTGCATCAGGCGCAGAAGAGGCCTCTGAAGTTCAGAGACAGAAACCGTCGGAGTCAAAAGGCTCGGCAAGGAAGTCGGTGTCATTCGCAGAAGGGACAAAGAAAGCAGATGGCTCCCCAGAGCTGGAGCCCGAATCCGAGTCCGAGCAAGCCCCGCTCACATCAGACCAGAAAAGGGCAGAAAAACGGCAGAAAAGAGAGCAACGTTCAAAGAATCACTCGGCTCAGAATTCCAATCCTAAAACCCCGTCCGCACCATCAGACCGAATCTTAGACTACCTTACTACCTACTATAGCTCACGATCAGAGTGGAAGTTCCAGAAAAACCGAGAAACGGTCATTCTTAAAAATGCTTTGTCCGTGGATCGAATACCAGGCAGCTATAACCCGGCTTTAAGTACATATCTCACCAGTTTAAAAAGCGCTGCAGCAAAATCTCGGGTCGCACAATCGGCCCTGGAGGCAATTGAGGCGGATGAGAAAATCAATGAGGAACATAATACAGAGTATACGCAGGCCATTACATTACTCAGAGCACAATTGGCTGAATTGGGCCAAAATATCCCCGAAGCCGAAGCCGATGCCCAGCAAGGTTCTTTAAATGATGATCAGCTCAAGAGATTTGCGAGGAGAAAACGAGCAGAACTGGTCTATTTTGCAGTATCTGGTCAGATTGCCAAAGAAACAAAGCCGTCTGTATCGAAGGAAGAGGCGAAGCCGAGCGTAAAACGCAAACGAAAGACAAGAACTGCAATGGTGGAAGAAGACTACACAAGCAGCAGTAGTGACAGCGACAACGACAGCGAAAGCAGTAGCGAAAGTGAAAACGATGGAAGCGATTCCTCGAGCTCTGATACCAACCAGAAAGGGCTGCAGAAAAGCGAAATTCTATCCAGCTGGCCTCCAAGTGTGTCCGGTTCATCTTCATCTGAGCTGAGTTCGGATTCCGATACTACTTCTTCAGGTATGTGAAAATGGCGTTTGCTTTTCGTTCCCATCGTCGCTCGTCCAATTTGTATTCTAGGGCCAATTACACATCCTCGCAGACGCTCCCCTATTGCCTCTACTTGACTCCCCTTCGTAGGTATCTGCATCTTTCTAACCTAAGTATTATGTTTAGGTTCGGATTCGGATTCGGATTCTGATGTCACTTCAAATTCAAGCTCAGGTAATTTAATTTAACCTTCATCCTAACAAAACTATTCGTTGATGTTAACTCAATTATCAGATTCTGATTGATAACTGACGAAGTGATGCCATTGATGATCCGGATGAAACGTGATAATTGAGTGCTGCAATATAATATCCATACATTGCTGGTGTTTAGACTTAGACATTCGCCCTCTCCATAGGTATGAAAAGATACCCAGATTGATATTGGGGCTGCATTTAAATAGTGAATCACATTGCATATCAAAAACACATCAAGTTCCATTATCATAACTATCGTATGAACGTGAATATTCGCCAGCACTAGGGTATCTGAGGCATCCGTCTCCCATCTTTAAGCAATAGCCTTGACTATCAAGCCGTCGCCCCTTCTTTCCCCTTCTCCTTCTCCTTCTCCTTCTCGTCCCTCCTCTCCACTGACTCCGCGCCAGCCCTTCTCCTCTCCCTGTCTTTCCCCGACCCTCCCCCACCACCCCTTCGCCTTCGAACAACCTGGTACACATCGTTGAAATTCATAACCACCCCCAAGAACCTCATATCCACATCAGGCTGATACGCCAAATCGCTCAGGAGCGTAATTAGTCTCGCCCTAAATTCCGCTGATAAGTCACTCAGTCGTGAGCGCAAAGAGGGCAGCAAATAATCTTCTCCTATCAGGCCAGAGCTGAAAAAGGGAGATGCCGTGTCCGCTAGGGGTGTGCCGTCCGTCGAGGAACGGAGTATGCCACCGTTATCGAGGGGTGAGTGGACAGTTTGCGATCCAGAACCCGTTCCGGGTCGCCGAAGGATAGATCCAGACCGGCTATGTTGGTTCGAATGGAAGTCTCTTTCTGTCACGCCCCATTGGCCTTGGGCGGTCCGGGTTTCAATTTTTGCGTTAAATTCTTGCCGCCGCGTGAACTCTGCGACAGAGAAGGAGTATAATCCGTCCACGGCGTCTTTATATGCAAGCATGATTTTGAGAATTTGATGAAGTTGAGCTAGAAACGATTCTTCGCCTCGATTACTCGAAGAACTGCCGCGGGAGGATGATGAGCCGAGGAGGCCCTTGTGGGTAATAGAGTTGAGATATTTGGTATGTGCTTCGATGAGATCGTCTAACGTACATTCCGGCTTCGACATTGCGACTTGCAATTGGTCCCAACTGGCTTCGATCACTTCGAAGAGTATGTAGTATTGAAGCTGGCATATAAAGTGTATCATCTCGGCGATAACACAGCGAGCTCGTTTCCAGTCAGGGCCAACTTTATCTTCCACGCTCCCTAAAACTCCTCTTGCGCCTGTCATACATCTGCGCCACGTGCTTCCAAGCGCAAATTCCACGCGCTTCACTCTCCAAAGAAAGTTAAAAAGCTTCAGGTATTGTGTTGACGCCCACGGCGTTATGACCACATCAACGGGTGCGTCAATTTTATATTCAAGGGTGAAACAATCCCAGCCAATTTCACCATGACTAAGTTCCAGCATACGTGCGTCAAGGCGGCGAAGGACGTCTGGCGAGTCATATTGAGCATTTGACGCCCGAATAGCATGTTCCAGCTGAGCGGTCAAAGTGTGCCGGTATTGCGAGTTGGCTGGGCGGTCAAGATTCGAAGCAAGTGACTCCATGAGCAGAGCGATGAAATCTCCTTGTCCCAGTAAAAGATATTTCTTTAGTGCGTTCAGGTGTTCGAATAATCTAAATTTTGAGTCCATGAGATATATGAGACGAGCCATTGTAGTTTTATACGCTTTGTCGATTGACGTCTCAAGCGTCGCCGTATCTCCGTATCGCAACTCCTTCGATGCATCTCGAGAATATGCAATAACCCAGGCAGAATCACCACAGCCATAACGGATGAAGTTGAGGGATTTTCCAATCAGGAATACCTTTTTAGCAAAATCATGCGTCATAATTGTAGGGACCATCACACCGTTAAGCTTATACTTCTCGTCCCAGACGCTCGTTGCCGTCCGGCGCGGATCGACATCTGGACGGTTCTCCGGTTGCACAACAAAAAACTCGCGGTAAGGATCCGACAGTTCCCCATCGTATATCCACTGTGTCAACATACCATAGAAAGGCCGGGTGACATGTGCTAAAAGGCGTTCGGCAAATGCTCCAACAAAGGGGTCACCGTGCGAAGTTGAAAAACCGTGAATCATTGATATCAGTTGACCGCCTTTTTTACTTTCAAGTTCTTCGACCATAAGGCTCATCAATCGTAACGCCATCGTAGCATCTTTCATCCAAACGATGCAGCGTTTCAGAGTGACGCCCGCTTTCATCACGGACTGCGGGTCATCAGTCGATTCTGTGACTGCTGTCACGGCTGTTCTAATCTCACCCTCCAAGCTTGCTACTAGACCCAAGTAAGAGCGAAGCTCACTTCCTATGGCGGCCCGTAGACTTTGTTCTATGAGGCCGCCTTCAGATTTGCCGGCAAAAGTGGACAGGCCTCGATATAGGAGGCATGGCTCCGCTAAAGTGTGCAACAACGAAAGGAGTGGAATAGGAAGAGTAGTCGGTAGCTTCAGTGTTGTATTTGAAAATTGAAGATTCGTCGTTGACAAGCCCTGAAGACAGAACGGTAGGTCACGTAAAAGGGCGGGCTCCGCTGGCGGAGCTCCTTCATCATTACCATCCGCTTGCGGAGGTTGTTTTGGTGTTTGAGGAACGGGTATAGGCTCCTCAGCATATCTGCGGGCCTGCATGCGTTCTTTATTCTCGTCTTCCGCGGCTCTCTTTCTTTCGCTTTCCTTCGGTCTAGTCGCATCCATCGCATCCTTCACCATTGCCGCACGACGCTGCTCCCTACCGACAACGGAAACAGATGAATCAGGAGCTATACTTTCTGGAATGTTTTTCCGTCCGGCTGGCTCATCTTTTAGCAGCATATGATCCAGCTGATTATTCTCCATCAATGGACTCCGGCGGCCATCCGCCATTCTTTTATTTCCTCCAGTCACAACGCCCTCTCCAACCCGCATTCCAACAGCATCGTCTTCATCTTCCTCCCTAATCCGATAAAGCAAATACAGAATTGCCCATTTCTGTCCCAGGACCGGCTGTGTTAACAATCTCGAATACAGATTCGAAAACCTCACGGCTTTATCCGGCGACGCATTCTCCCTTAATAGCTTTCGCTTAATCATATCTGGCGCGTTATTGATCACATCAGGAGACACTGATCCTCGCCGCTGCTCTCCGCTACCATTAACATGATTTCCACCACCACTATTGTTGGTCCCATGAGCGTCCAAGATCCTCCAGGCAAGGTCCAATGCGCGGCGATGCCGCAATTCTTCTGCCTCGGCAATCTCTGCGCGCGCATATTCATCTAAATAGGCGTCTGACGCGTTGTCGCTACCATTGCGGTGACGATGCACGGGTGATAGGGACGGGAGGAGGGAGTCGACGAGCTGGGATAAGGCATCATCTATGCGCCGACCGCGGTGGTTTGAGGATGACGAAGTGGGAGGCATCGCTGAGGATATCGGTACAACGGATCATCTGGGACGACAATTACGCTCATTCGTATTTGCATCGGCTGTAGTAGTGGCCGCGAGTTCTGCCCAACTGTCAACGCGACTCTTTGAAGCGACGCAATCGCGACTCCACGGTTGAGTCACGTGATATATTCATTGGGCATCCGCTTTCGACGCACAAAACACAGTGAAGGACTGGTGCATGCTTCGACGGAAGCAGAGTTCCGGATAATACGCATCGGCGAGCAATCTGTTAGGTAATCCAACTAGCACCTCGCTCACGTGACCCACATAGATTAGCCGAGATTCCCCTTTAGGTAGCTTAGTGAATGACAAGCATACAAGTCCTCCATCAGGTTATAGCCCTTTGTGCTGAAGAGCAAGCATATAAGATTGATTTACAGCTCAATTGAATATTGAAGCTTACAATCAATACTCTGAACAGTTATTCTTGTAGATAATGAGATTTTATGAGCACTAAAGAGAGTATACATCAAAGTAGACACCTTCTATATATGCAAATCCCTGTAGCTTTCTGGCACTGAGCTGGAGAGTGAGTTGAACCCTGTAGCTTTCTGGCATCTAATCAGAGAGTGAGCAAAATGCCTGCTAAATGCATCTAGCAAGCAAATTAAGCATCTGGCAACACTAAAGTCATGGTGAACTGTATGAATGAACTGGAGCACCAAACCCCTGACCAGAAGACTTCAATAAATCTTCCTACACCTTAAATCAAGCTTAGGTGATTGAGTAGGCTCAGAAGTGACCAGCCAAATGACAAGCAGAAATATAGAAAGGAGAGTGAACTTCAAATATTACATAGAATAATGCTGTAACAACAAGAGACAGTACAACAGCTCGTACAGCAAATGAGCCTCTTATCAGATCAAGCAAACATGCCTGCAACAGTGCAGGAAAACCTGGAGCAAGAAGCTCAACAAGAAGAAGGAGAGGACTGAGAAATAGACTTTGAGAATAAACTAGAAGAATATACTAGTAATCTTATAGACACAAATATATGGACTGGCAGAGTAATCACTCAATTCATGAAGATCTTGAAAACAGTAAAGAAGTCTATAATCCTGGCCAGGGTCAGCAACTATCTAGCATGAAGCAAAGCCATTCTAAAGATAGCTTGTCAAGTGAATACTGAGAAGATTATTCTGAAAAGACAAGAGATCTCACTACAGCCAGAGAACTTGAAGATTTCACAATATTGGAATATTCAGAATAAATGACTACATGATCTAATTAATAGTATAATATCTGCACAAGCCAGAGAACACTTTAAGAAATCAGATAGTCTTAGTGCTTACAAACTCTAGAAAGCTGTAAGAACAGTCTTTCAAGAGAGATCTGAGATACAGTAGGAAAGCCTATTAACAGAGTTAGTGAGAATAATATTATAGTCTGCTGGCTCAGAAAAAAATTATATAGAGAGATTTCTAGCAATCTGTAGAGAATTTAAGAGATTAGAGTTTAAACAACTGGACCACACCCTATATAATATTTTGAAGATGAATATTATATCTTAATAGAGAGAGTTTATACAGAACCAATTTAATATAGCATGCCAGAGTAGAATAAATCTACTGGAGAAGAATTTGAAAGATCTATTGAAGAATATTCTTTACTGAATTCTTAAGAAAGACCAGAAGAAAGATGATAGATTTATAAGATTAAATATAAATGTAACAACAAGCTTGAATTCTCAAAGATCTTATAAGAATATAAACTCTGAATTCAATTTAGAGAAGAGCTTACTGCAAAACTAGAACTACTATACCTGTAGTAAATCTGGCCACTTAGCTAAATTCTACAGATCTAACAAGAATATAAAGTTTAATAAGTCTAAGAAAGACTCTAAGAGCAAAAGCAAGAAAGCAATAACAGTTATAATAAACAAGATCTATTTGATTTATGAAGCAATCTTTTCTATAAGAGAAGCCTGCAAATTCACAAACAGATGAATTCTTGATTCTGGAGCTGGATTTCATGTGACCTTATGTATAGATTTAGTTCAAATGAACCCAAAGAGCCATGCAACACAACTGCTTATAGCAAATGGTTTGAAATCAGTCATCAGAGAATTTGGCACAGCCAGCATTTAAACTGACAATAGTGAATTGAGCATTAGAGAGATTAGAATTATGTCTGACCTCCAGATTAATCTTATAAGCTTTGAGAAGCTTATATGGAATAGCTTTACAGTGGAACAGCTTTATATCAATGAAGAATACATCTTTCTACTAGAATCAGAAGATAAAATACAGAACTTTGAAGCTGTACTTAATAAAGATAATGTAGTGGGGATTCTGGTACCATATTAGGACAAAGGTTGTTCTGGTCTGAGGCGCAAAAACCCCCCCAGCTACTATCTCTGAGCTATATAAACCACCTATAGCCCCTGCATCTTGCTCAATACCTTTGTGCACCTTTGTACTTTTCCACACACTCATTTTTTATTGCTAGTTTGGTTATTAGTTAGAGAATATGAAGATCTCTTGTTCATGAAGCTTGCCACTGTTCCTCATTAGAGCTGCCTGTGTTAGTACAGGCTCTTTAGTACTATTATTTCTTATGAGCTTAGGCATCTGTTAAGGCATGCTTCTCTGTTCTTACTACTCAGCCATTACCATCCTTACTATGTTGTGATTTTTCATCCTTCTTGCACTCTCACCATCTCAACCAACTTGCCTACTTTGACAAGGCATCCCATTGTACCCTGCTTCATTTGGTGACCAAGCTGAGACCTGAAGATGATGATGTGGTGATTTGGTGGCTGCCAAGAAAGAAAAACAAATTCTGAGACACATGAAGCAATACACTATTTCAAGGTAAGATCTTATGGACTAGGAATACAGTACTAATCAGGTTTTTGTTTAGGAACAAGGTTAGGGAGCTTAGATTTGAATGGCTCTTATCTAAAGCTTGCCTGATAAATAGGTTTTTTGAAAAGATATTGAATCATTGAGAAACAACAGAACATACTGTGTGACATGACCAAAGATCAAGAAATCAAGAAATCAGAATCAGAATCAACTATGGTTGAAGGTACTACAGGATCATATGTGACTATGTCACAAGATGAGAACAGGAGAATTGTGGTTCACTCCCACATTCCTATGCCTTCCTCTGGCACGGCAAATGCATCTTGGTTTGATGGCAGAGATGCTATCTTGTTTATTGAAAGGTTTTATCAAATGTGCAAGGATCATGGGGTAATTGACTCTAAGAACATTATCAAACAGTTGGCTAGGTACTGTGTTACATGGATTGGAGAATGGATGAAGACCTTAGAAGGCTACAAGGAAGATAATTGAGAAGTATTCTCTAAAGAGATTATTCATGAATTTTGTGATCAGGACATTACTTACAAGATTCACTGTCAGAATTATCTTTAAGCAATTACAAAGAAACTGTGTGCTTGGGATAGCAACATTTGTGCCTATGTTCAAGAATACACTACTATTGCCAGTACAGTACAAGTCAATGGAAGGCTTGATGAATTCACTAAGGTGTCTTGGTTTCTTCAGAGGCTGCCTGAGAAGCTCTGGAATAAGGTTATTGACAAGGCAAAGCTCAATCTTTCAGACAATATGTCACCTATTGATTTTAGGAAGGTTGTTTGAGTGACCATGGATTTGATCAACCAGTATGAAGGGAATAAGAAGGTCTTTGAAGAAGATGAAATGAAGCAGAAGGAAATGGAGAAGCTTGATGAGCAATATCAATTAGCTAACAAATCTTCTACAGTTGAGGCTCCAAAGAAAACAGCTAGTTCTGTGAAGACTGAAGAATCTGAATTGAAATCCAAAGCCAAGAGCTCTGAGAGCATCAATATTAAAGCTGCAATTGAAAAGATGACTAATGAGTTTACAAATTTGATATTGGCCATGAGAGTACAGTCAAATCAGATACAAGGGAATTCTAATCAGTACTATATGCTGCAGAGAGAAGGGCCTCCAAAACCCATATCAAATTATACAACAAATGTGACTACTAATTCTGCAACAGTACAAGAGAACACCCAACCACAATTAGTTAATTCTTATGTGGCTTGAAACAGTTCACCAATGACAAGCTATTGTCCTAGTGGCTGAGAAGAAGCTCAAACTGGAGGAATTTTGACATGTTCCTCATGCTTTTACTGTGGAAAATCTGGATACTGTCAATCTCAGTGTTACAAATACCAATCTGATGTGAATAACAGGTTCTGTCATATTAATGATGAAGGGAACTTGTGCATGGGTTCCCCTGGTCAAAACTATTGAGTTGTCACTCCTAAACCTGGAATACTGAACATGTATATTGTATGGTCTATGGGAGAGGATGAATGGGCAATTCCAGAGTTAACAAGCCCTAAAAAGAAGACCAATCAGTAAGAAGAGACATCTCCAGCAAATTCAACCAGTGTGAAGGTCCAAGCAGGATGACTTGCATATCTAATGTCTGATGGAGAATCTGATTCAGATAAGAAATATGAACCACTGGAAGAAAGAACATCAGTTAATGTTGGAACTGTTAGAGAAGCTAAGAACAGTCAAAAAGCTAAGATTACAACACTTCATACTCAGTGTACTGGACAATTTATTACCTACCAGAATAATCAAGCTAGTGTTGATGATGATATCATGGAAGATGTTGAACTGATCAATCAGAAGAAGCCTGAAATTCAGAACAAGACTGTGGAGAAACAAAGACCAAGATATTCTGCAACAGATTGTTTATCCTCTCAGATCTGTGATTCAACAGATGCCAATGAATTAATGGGTTGAATTCTCAATAGGAAGGTCAAAGTGTCAGTCAAGAAGCTTATAGATGTATTGCTGAAGCTTTATTGAGTGTTCTTTGGATCAGGTTGGAATAACAGTACTAGCAAAAGCCATGCAAAGATTGAAGTCTCTGAACTGGTTCAGCCTGAGCTAAAGATCAATTCCAGTCAACTTACATCAAAGCCCATGGTACCAAAATCCAAAACAGCATATGAAATGTGTTTGTTATATGCACCAG